ACACTTCGCATGCCAATAGGTCTTCCGTGTTCTGCAAACCATTCATTTGCAATGGACCTGGTAGTGGAGAAACGGTCCCTTAAGGCCAATAATCTTAGACGGCGATCTTCACGGTCTGTTGTTCTACGGCGGCGTCCAGTGCCCCTTGCTCTTCGGGTACGGCCTTCTCGAAGCCATGCCTGACAACACCTAACCACAGTGTCTACACTTCTTTGCGCTCTAACTGCAATTGCCCGAAAAGAAAGTCCAGCTTCCCGAAGTCCCACTATACGGCCCCTATCAAACTCACTAAGTTGACGAAATCGTACAGGTCTCCGTACTCTAGGCATCGTAACCGATCGTAAAGGATGTCAAGAACCAAAATCCGCCAACGTTGATTCTTTACTGCGGCTGAAATATTCATTTTTAGAGCGTTAGTGAATTAAAAAAAAGCAGTATAAAAACCGGAATGTCCAACTGATAAGGCTGAAAATTTTTTCACTTGTTATTTACAGTAAGATAAATACATTCACCAACTTTTATTAAAATAAAACCATTTAAACTGGGTGTTCGGATTTATATGTCACTTAGTATAATTTATATTACCAAAACACTTTAACATGTACAATATCGTTTTTTAAAGCACCTACGTGCTGCCAATTGTCTTGTTTACTGAAAAAATGGCGTCAAGTAGTTGGACTCTGACGTCAGTTCATAAAGGATTATATTGGGCACAAGTTAGCTCTTTCGGGGAAAAAGTTAGTTACAAACGTGTTTAACAAAAAACTGAATGGATCAAGTCTCTCTGAAAAAAAAAATTTTATCAAGGAAGCAAGCTAACAAGTTTAATTAACGTAATTAAACTCTTAATTTCCCAAAACGGCTTACTTGAATCTACTAACTGATTAGTTTAAGTAATCCAAAACGCAATCGTTTAATTAAATTTAATAGACCGTTTACTTAGATTGAGTAAACCAGGTTATTTAAAATTAATGAACTATGGGTTTACCTGCTCCAATTAAAACCATTTAATTATATTCATTAAATTTGTTTAATCATTTACGAATGAAGGACCTACATGGTCCTGCCGCGTATGCGATTCAAATAAATAGTTCAATTGTTTTTATTAAAATGATCAATTTTTTAAATGTCACAGTGAAAAAAAATTAATCAAACCAATCAAAATTTTTATCAATCAATTAAAAAATTTAATCAACTGTGACAGCTAACAACTTTGATTAATTTAATTAAACCAAAACGCAATCGTTTAATTAAATTTAATGAACCGTTTACTTAAATTGAATCCAATTTATTTAAAATCAGTGAACTATTAAAATGAGTTTATTTGCTCGAAGTATAACAATTCAATTATTTTTATTAAATTTGTTTAATCGTTAACGAATGAAGGTCCGACTCCTGCCGAGTCCGCGATTTAAATAAACCGTTCAATTGTTTTTATTAAAATAATTAATTGTTTTAAATCTACGTTTTCTTCATGAAATAAGTTATCTAAGCTAATCATACAGTTTATTGAACCAAATACTTTCAAGCAAATTAGCTTGATAGTATTTTACTGATCCAGAAAATTCAGTTTAATTAAACGGAATAATTTAGTTACTTGAATTTACAAACTGACTAGTTTAATTAATCCAAAACGCAATCGTTTAATTAAATTTAATAGACCGTTTACTTAGATTGAGTCAATCAGGTTATTTAAAATTAATGAACTATGGGTTTACCTGCTCCAATTAAAACCATTTAATTATATTCATTAAATTTGTTTAATCATTTACGAATGAAGGACCTACATAGTCCTGCCGCGTATGCGATTCAAATAAATAGTTCAATTGTTTTTATTAAAATGATCAATTTTTTAAATGTCACACTGAAAAAAAATTAATCAAACCAATTAAAATTTTAATCAAGCCAATTAAAAAATTTAATCAACTGTGACAGCTAACAAGTTTGATTAATTTAATTAAACAGTTCACTTGAATCTATCAAACTAGTTTAATTAAACCAAAACGCAATCGTTTAATTAAATTTAATGACCCGTTTACTTAAATTGAATAAACCAGTTTATTTAAAATCAGTGAACTATTAAAATGAGTTTATTTGCTCGAAGTATAACAATTCAATTATTTTTATTAAATTTGTTTAATCGTTAACGAATGAAGGTCCGACTCCTGCCGAGTCCGCGATTTAAATAAACCGTTTAATTGTTTTTATTAAAATAATTAATTGTTTTAAATCTACGTTTTCTTCATGAAATAAGTTATCTAAGCTAATCAAACAGTTTATTGAACCAAATACTTTCAAGCAAATTAGCTTGATAGTATTTTACTGATCCAGAAAATTCAGTTTAATTAAACGGAATAATTTAGTTACTTGAATTTACAAACTGACTAGTTTAATTAATCCAAAACGCAATCGTTTAATTAAATTTAATAGACCGTTTACTTAGATTGAGTCAATCAGGTTATTTAAAATTAATGAACTATGGGTTTACCTGCTCCAATTAAAACCATTTAATTATATTCATTAAATTTGTTTAATCATTTACGAATGAAGGACCTACATAGTCCTGCCGCGTATGCGATTCAAATAAATAGTTCAATTGTTTTTATTAAAATGATCAATTTTTTAAATGTCCCAGTGAGAAAAAATTAATCAAACCAATCAAAATTTTAATCAAGCCAATTAAAAAATTTAATCAACTGTGACAGCTAACAAGTTTGATTAATCTAATTAAACAGTTCACTTGAATCTATCAAACTAGTTTAATTAAACCAAAACGCAATGGTTTAATTAAATTTAATGACCCGTTTACTTAAATTGAATAAACCAATTTATTTAAAATCAGTGAACTATTAAAATGAGTTTATTTGCTCGAAGTAAAACAATTTAATTATTTTTTTTAAATTTGTTTAATCGTTAACGAATGAAGGTCCGACTCTTGCCGAGTCCGCGATTTAAATAAACCGTTTAATTGTTTTTATTAAAATAATAAATTGTTTTAAATCTAAATTTTCTTCTTGAAATAAGTTGTCTAAGCTAATCAAACAGTTTATTGAAGCAAATACTTTTAAGCAAATTAGCTTGATAGTATTTTACTGATCCAGAAAATTCAGTTTAATTAAACGGAATAATTTAGTTACTTAGAACAATTAAAAAAAGTATTACGGTTAATGAAAATATTCCAGAACAACTGTTGGTTGACCACGCTTTCGCAGTGCATTATCAAGTGATATGACAGCATTGATTAACGTATTCCACCTGAGAATAACTAATTAAAATTGGCCAAACGGTAATCCTAGCGCCATCTATGTGACAGTGGCAGAACCAAAAACTCTAACTTCATATTAAATTTTTACATACATTTTTGCGATTTAGATGGCAGTGGGAGTTTTACGATTTTGGACGCCGTATTACAGTATATCATCAGGAGGAATACGTTAACCAATGGTTTTACGGTATAGTTTCACGTTTGTCCCAAATAAATATTTCTTTATATACTAAGTGACATATAAATCCGAACACCCAGTTTAAATGGTTTTATTTTAATAAATTTTTGTATAAGTACTTAATGAAGCATAATAAGTAAATGATTTCAAAATGATTGCACTGCTTTAAAGCCCTTTGACTTTTAATAATGTGTGGATGCACCCTGATGTGCTACGCATTCTCCAACGCGCCTAGGCATGCTTCTGATCAGGTGGTCAATGTCCTCCTGTGGTATCTCATTCCAGGCAACAACCAACTCCTCTCGAAGTGCTTCTACAGTCTGAGGAGGACGTTGCAAATTGAGCAATCTCCTACCCATCATGTCCCACACGTGCTCAATTGGGGATAAGTCGGGAGATCTTGGTGGCCATGGTAACAATGTGACATCATTATGTTGAAAGAAGTCTATTGTGACTCTTGCAACATGTGGTCGGGCATTATCTTGTTGGAAAGTTGGATCTGCCAGGGTGTCAAGATAGGGTAAAAGATGGGGATATAAGGCTGCGCGTTCATGTTACCTCTGATGAAGATTAAAGGTGACCTGGAACCATAAGCTATAGCACCCCAAACCATAACTCCAACAGTGTTATGAACATGTCTTTTAACAAAAAACTGTGGATTCCTCCTTTCACCACGTCGCTTTCTAACCCCGGCACGACCATCGTGCATGAATAAACAAAATCGAGACTCGTCACTAAAGACAATACTGTTCCATTCCTGATCCCAGAGTGACCGTTGTCTGCACCACTCAAGGCGATTACGTCGGTGTTCTCGAGTTAAAGGGAGGACCCAGTGTGGCCGGTATGAAAACAAGCCAAAACTTCTCATTCGTCGGTAAACACTTCGCATGCCAATAGGTCTTCCGTGTTCTGAAAACCATTCATTTGCAATGGACCTGGTAGTGGAGAAACGGTCGCTTAAGGCCAATAATCTTAGGCAGCAATCTTCACGGTCTGTTGTTCTACGGCGGCGTCCAGTGCCCCTTGCTCTTTGCGTACGGCCTTCTCGAAGCCATGCCTGACAACACCTAACCACAGTGTCTACACTTCTTTGCACTCTAACTGCAATTGCCCGAAAAGAAAGTCCAGCTTCCCGAAGTCCCACTATACGGCCCCTATCAAACTCACTTAGTTGATGAAATCGTACAGGTCTCCGTACTCTAGGCATCGTAACCGATCGTAAAGGATGTCAAGAACCAAAATCCGCCAACGTTGATTCTTTACTGCGGCTGAAATATTCATTTTTAGAGCGTTAGTGAATTAAAAAAAAGCAGTATAAAAACCGGAATGTCCAACTGATAAGGCTGAAAATTTTGTCACTTGTTGTTTACAGTAAGATAAATACATTCACCAACTTTTATTAAAATAAAACCATTTAAACTGGGTGTTCGGATTTATATATCACTTAGAATACATTGTAACTGTACTGTATATGTGATTTGTGCTAGTGGCAATTGCCGCATGGCATATCGCTAATTGCTCATAATTCAAGTGTGCGTTTTCTTGTTCACTTTGCAGACCACCAGAACTGGTTCGGAATGGACGAGCAACTGGGGCCTGTCGTCATCTCGATACGAAGGGAAAAAGTCGTTCATCCCGAAAACCAAATGACAACTACTCTTATGCAGTATCAATACAGGTGAGAATTTTTGAAAAATCGGTTTCCTTAGATGTCATGTTTTTCCAGGAACACTATGATACATCAATAAGACTAAACTCAAATCTACGCACCTTATTGACAGAGAAAACGAATTTTTATATGGGTGATAAATACGGAGAGTTTGTTCAAATTTTTTTCATAGAAAACCACCTACAAATATCAGCGAACACTCACTGCGACGATAATTTCGAATAAGATCATCCAAAAATTCTGAAATTTTGTCCGGTTTGGAGCAAGAAACAGACGTCAGATTCGCGATCTACGCAACCGTTTTACCACAGAAACGGATTTTGTTAGAGATGTCAGATACGCAGGTTTTTTTGAAAAATTCCTTCAATAATAAATAGTAACGGCCCTAATTTCCTCCCCTGTGGCACCCCTACTGATATATTTTGATCACTTGACAATATTACCAACTTTTTGACTTCTATTTACTAAATAATTTGTAAAATTTGTAATACTGATCCTTTAAAGCCATAGTGACGCAATTTCATTAACAATTTTTCCCTATCTATAGTTTCAAATGCCCTTTTGAAGTCTAAAAATATTGTTACATTACATTCTTTCTTATCTATACTTTTTCTCCAGTCTTCCACCACCATTTGGATTGCCGTTTCTGTGGAACATTTTTTTCTAAATCCAGCTTGATTTTTTATCAAAATTTTGGTTTCTTCAATGAATTCTATGATTTGTTCGTATATTATCCCTTCGAACAGCTTCTCGACATCCGGCAAGACATTAATCGGTCGCATATTTGTATTCAGCTGAGAATTTTGAACTTTTGGCACAGGAGTAATGGTGGAACACTTTAATTTTGATGGGAATTGACCATCTACTGTTTTACAAAAAAAATTGCTACGGACAACAAAATGACTCGAGCGACTTCAAACTTGTACTGAAGGCGGATCACATGTTCCCCTGCCTCCCCTCCAATCCCGTCGCCTTCAGTGTTGCCTTATCGAACGCTGCTTTGCCAGTTTCATCCAAAGAACACAATCTCGTTTTCGAAATTTTTACAATATCCTCCTCGCCCAGAAGCGTAGGAAATAAATGTAGTACTCGGTGCATCGCTACTAAAAACTACACGTTTATTCTTTACAGGCTAGTGATTCGGACATCTGAACTGCAAACTTTGCGCGGCGCCGTCCTCGAAGACGCCATTCCCAACATCAAACCGTCCACGAACCCCAAGAGCATGCACTCCAAGGAGGTGCTGGAGTACGTCGCCCCAGAAGTGCAGCAGAGCTGTCTTCGATTGGGAGTGCACAACCAGCAGACCACAGATCTGATACTTAAGCTGGATGAGCAAGGATTGACGAACCATTATAAGGTTAGAGAAAATTTATACCAAAGGATCGGGGTCCATAAGGGAGGTTTTCGACAATTTGAAGATCGTCTTATCTATGAAATGTTTGGATTTGAATATTTCAGAATATGTGTATCTTTCATTCATATATACAGGGTTGCGCATCGAAAACGACAGACACATTTACTGGCAGCTCAGTTTTTTTTTTTTGAAAAACGCTCAGACCCGTCGATTTTGTTTTCGAGGGGGGCACAAGTTTGGCAAAAAAATCACGTTAGCACGTGCAACCTCCTGGGCGGGAGTGACACCAACCCTAAGATCTTAAATGGAAAGGGGGGTCGAGTGATACCTTATTTTAAAGGTCTTTCAATTCCCTTTATAATGATGTAAAATACATGAGCTTCAGTTCAGTAGTTTTGAAGGTTTATTGATTTAAAGCTTAAAGTAGACTTATAGGTACATAAGATTAGTTTGTACTACTTTCAGAACAAATTTGACCAAAAGAATTTGCTTAATAAGTAAATGCATTTCTTCACTACGCCCATGGTTTGTTTATCATTTTGTTGTTGAAAATGGCTCTTGGAGCGTTTTTTTGTGGCAAAAAAGTTTGTTTCTTGAAGAAAGATAAAGAAATATCTCATACTTATTTTAAATGGGAATTTAGTACATAGTTTGCGATTGTTTTGACCAAACTTTGTTGCTAAAATAACTTGTAACGCTTTATTACATAAATTAACCATGGTATATTCCACAGCAACGAATTATAAACGATAAATATTTTCTATTCAACACTGGCTTTTCCGACGAATGCTCCTTTTTCTTAAATGGCATCATAACTGCCGATATTGGTCCGATTCTAATCCCAGAATTTATCATGAGGTTCATACACAGCAGCCACAAAAATTAAATGTTTGGGCTGGTATTTTTGGCGATCATTTAGTTGGTCCTTTTTTCTCACCTGGAAATTTGACTGGTGAAATGTATTTGGAATTACTGGAAGACGCCATAGGATGGTGTCCCACCACATTACGCAGTACGTGTTCGACAATATTTAGATCAGATCGATGGATTGGTAGAAGAGGTGCCATTTAATGACCCCCAAGATCGCCAGATTTATCACCTTTGGATTTCTTTATGTGGGGTCAAGCAAAATCTATACTACTCAGCCAACATCATTAGAAGACCTGCGACAACGAATTGTGAATGAGTGCCTTCAAATTACTCCTCAAATATTGCAAAATGTGCGGCAACGTTTTGAGCAAAATCTTTATTATTGCATGGAGAGTCATGGCGGCCATTTTCAACATTTACTTGCCTAGCGGGTCAGTTCATTCTTCATTTTTAAATTATTTAGCTGCCAAATGTATTGATCTCCACTAATGATGATGTATTAGTTTTATTTAAGCTTGAAATCAATAAATCTTCAAAACTACTGAACTGAAGTACATTAATTTTATCTCATTATAAAGGGAATTGAAAGACCTTTAAAATAAGGTATCACTCGACCCCCCTTTCCATTTAAGATTTTAGGGTTGGTGTCACCCCCGCCCAGGGGGCTGCACGTGCTAACGTGATTTTTTGCCAAACTTGTGTCCACCTTGAAAACAAAATCGACGGGTCTGAGCGTTTTTCAAAAAAAAAAACTGAGCTGCCAGTAAATGCGTCTGTTTCGTTTTCGATCCACCACCCTGTACATTTGAAATAGGCGGCGATGCCCTCATATAAAAATGGTAAGGTATATGTTCGAAAACGGGTGAATTTTCGAGCAAAATTCCAAAATTGCAAACATATTGGGCTTTTATACAACAATTAAGATTTAAAATAAAAACAAGTTGATGAAACTTTAAAATATATGTTCTAAAATATTGAAATATAAAAATGTTATATTTGCGCTAAATTTAAAATATGAGTCATTTCCAGGGCCGAAAAAAACCCTTATCGACGACAGTGTCCAATTTGTGAAAGCCCAGTAGCATATGTAAAAAATCCCTGAGATCACTGTTATAATTTGACAATTACTTGCGCCCTTGTTCAAAACCTTCGGAGAAAGTACCATAAGCATCCTAAAAAAATCTGCAACTTCCGAAATGATATTTCTTGCTTTACGAAAAAGACTTTACAAGTGATATATGATTCATTCCTACTGGTTTGTTTGCTTTTATATAACCTCATGTAAGAGGAATCAGATCTAGTTTATATTCAAATGATATTTGATATTTTTCGACGAGCTTTCTAGATGAATGTAATATGAACGAAAGCATCGGATGATATGCCATAGCCACAAGAAATATCACTTTACTCACCTGCATAATCAACTTTAAAGTGTCAGCATAATAAATCTTCTAGTTTGCAGGTTTTTAGGGAACTTAGAAACCTTGCACTATCGTGCATTAGGCATGAAAAAATGGCGTATCTTGCTCACTTGGAAAAAGGGCGTGATCAGAAAAAATTGTGGTATGAATTGAAAAATATGAAAGCACAAACATCTGATAAGCCACGTATTCCAAACCATCTTGCAGACTCGTTCCTTGCAAATAATTATTTCATATCAGTTTTTGATTCCACAAATGCTCCTGATCATGTTTTAAGGTATTATAACGAAACTGTTCCCCATATTAATAAATTTTCTTTCAGGCTTCTAGAGCCTCATGAAGTAGCTGAAATAATTTCTAGTTTTAAGTCCGATGCAAAAGGTACTGATGGGTTGAGCTTGTCTATGATTAAGCTCAGTCTGCCTGTTACTCTCATCTACATCACCCACCTTGTTAATAGTTGCCTTGAAAGAGGTTATTTCCCTGAAACGTGGAAGCGAGCAATTGTGGTACCAGTTCCAAAAAAATCAAATCCAGATGAGTTTGCTGATCTAAGGCCTATAAGCCTGTTGCCTTGTTTATCGAAGGTAGTTGAAAAGGCAGCCCACATACAACTAATGCATTATGCAGAGGAACATATCATCCCATCTGATCAGTCTGCTTTCAGGAAATCTTTCAGTACTACTACTTCCCTCTTAAACTTAGTGGATAATATTATTAGAGCACTTGATAAAAAAATGGGCGTAGCAGTGATGTCAATCGATTATTCCAAGGCATTTGACAAAATAAATCATGAGTTGTTAATAGCAAAGTTGAAGTATTATGGCATAGATCCAATTGCATTGAATTTTTTTCGAAATTATATATCAAATCGATCGCAGTGTGTATCAATTGAAAACAATAAATCTAGTTTTCTAGAAATCTCGTCTGGAGTACCCCAGGGGTCTGTTTTGGGTCCCTTGTTGTTTTTGATATATATTGCTGATCTGCCTAAGGCTGTGAGTTTTTGTGAACTCCACTCTTTTGCGGATGATACTCAACTGGTCCATTATTTTGATACTGATGATATGGAAATGGCACAGACATCAATAAACCATGATATTCAAAAAGTGTATGACTTCTCGAATAACCACAACCTGTCAATAAATACTGGTAAATCCAGCCTGTTATTTTTTTGTTCGGATCGTAGGAGAGAAGAAATTAAAAGTCGATTAACTATTAAAATTGGATCTCAAAGACTGTACCCGGTTGACGAGGTTAAAATTCTTGGCGTAGTAATCGATTTCAAACTTAGATTCACCAGTTATGTTAAAAATCTTTTGAAGAAAACCTACTTGAGACTGAGATCACTATATGCCAATAAAGCAATTTTCAATTATAAGCTAAGGAAAAAACTGTGTTCATCTTTGGTTATGCCGATTTTCAACTACTGTGACATTTTATATTATCCGTGTCTCAATGTTGTTACTAGAAATCGGATTCAAATTGTGCAAAACAATTGTGCTAGGTTCATCTGCGGTTTAAGGCGCTTTGACCATGTTTCTGGTAGTCTTATTGAATTAAACTGGATGATAACAAAAAATATTGTCAAATAGCATTACCTTGTTTTTATTCATAAACTAATACTTATGTCAAAACCTATATACTTAAGAGAAAAGCTGATCTTTAGGCGTAATATTCATCATAGACATATTAGATTTCCAGATTTGATAACTACACCTATTCACTCCACAACTTTATTCCAGCGATCTTTCACGTACAGGGCTTCAGTGTTATACAATGCTTTGAGTCCTGAATTCAAAACCATGTCCTTAAATTGCTTCAAGAAAGCTGTCAAATCTCATATTTACTTGGATCCATAGTCTTAATTAGATTATATAGATATATTGTTAAATGATTCTTCACTTCCCTTGTGTACATGTAGCAAACCTTGGTGCAACATGTACGTATGTAATGTGTGTATATGTATGTATGTATGTACATATGTATGTATGTACATGTGTATGTATATATGTATATTTTGTTTGATATCTGCTACTTAACAACTTGTTTTTTTTTTGCATGGGTGGTTAAGTGTAGGAGTTGCATGTTGCTAAACTCCGCCACCATATGCAACTCTTGTTTTTCTGTATGAAGTACAGTTTAAATAAAGACGATTATTATTATTATTATTGTTTGTTTGTAATTTTTCATTCTTGTCTATTAAAATTACATCACCTATGCATTTTGATTATTCATAGAGTGATTTTTTAATTTCACCTTAAACATTTTTAAATTCGAACACTTTAATATAATTATTCAATTTATTAAAAAAAATTCCCTTTTGAAATATAGATTTACTAGTTATGCTACTATTAAAATTTTGCGTATGAAAATCTATAGTTTCGTAGTTATGATAATGACTATTTAATTTTGTGAAGTTTTCTAAATGTGGTGGTAATAAATGATTTTTTAATTTGAATATGAAAACGAGTGCTAAATAATATATGAGATTTTTCACATTCAACCACTGTAGTTCTTCTAACATAGACTTAATCCCAGCATATTTGTTTTTATTTAAAATGATTTTCATATCTTTATTTTGTATACAAAATGACGTAATCTATCAAATTTGTGAAGTATCTAAAAATTGGGAGTGAAGTAAAAATTGTTCACTGTAGTTTCTTTATTTTTAGTTAAACTAATCGTCTAGGTTTATTTTTTATTTGAATGTCTTATTGAATTTTGACGAATATTTTGCGTTGCAGGTGGGCATTATGTACTGTAAAGCTGGTCAAAACACGGAAGAAGAAATGTACAATAACGAAGAGGCTGGTCCGGCGTTCACAGAATTTTTGGAAACGATAGGCAAAAAAGTTCGACTACACGGTTTCGATAAGTACAGAGCTGGATTGGATAACAAAAGTGAGTATACTGTGAAAAAATCAATACGTTGATTTTAAGTGCTCCAATTAAAGTAACATTAACGCTGATATAGTTTTACTTTATGGTTTGTGATGTAATTTCTCAAGTGGTTCGTCTAGTTGTCTCTAAGCTCCAACTTGCCAAAAATTTCCAATTAATTTAGTTTTATTACTAACCAGACCATCTACTATAAATAATTTTACGTACTTAATGTCACATGTAACGAGTGTTCTTAATGAAAGGCCGTAATTACAATGGCGCATTGCTGAACTGGAATAGCTCTTATAAACGTGTTTTCGAAAAAGTCTGGTATTCAAGGTACAAGGTGGCAAAAGTTTGAAAAAAAAATCTGCTTTTTGACAGAGGAAAAATAATGGTAAAATGTCACAGAAAGTCAAAAAAATGTTCGTAGCAACAAAACAACATTCCCTATAAACGTTGATCTGATTTTCTTAGAGACTAAGCAGCAGACAGTAGCTAATTAATATTTTTTTAAAGTCATCGTACATTTTTTGTGAATATTATACTAAGTGACATATAAATCCGAACACGCAGTTTAAATGGTTTTATTTTAATAAAATTTTGTATAAGTACTTAATGAAGCATAATAAGTAAATGATGAAAATTTCAAAATGATTGCACTGCTTTAAAGCCCTTTGACCTTTAATAATGTGTGGATGCACCCTGATGTGCTACGCATTCTCCAACGCGCCTAGGCATGCTTCTGATCAGGTGGTCAATGTCCTCCTGTGGTATCTCATTCCAGGCAACCCCCAATTCCTCTCGAAGTGCTTCTAGAGTCTGAGGAGGACGTTGCAAATTGAGCAATCTCCTACCCATCATATCCCACACGTGCTCAATTGGGGATAAGTCGGGAGATCTTGGTGGCCATGGTAACAATGTGACATCATTATGTTGAAAGAAGTCTATTGTGACTCTTGCAACATGTGGTCGGGCATTATCTTGTTGGAAAGTTGGATCTGCCAGGGTGTCAAGATAGGGTAAAAGATGGGGTTCTAGAACTTCGTGAATATAACGCTGCGCGTTCATGTTACCTCCAATCACTGCACTCTAACTGCAATTGCCCGAAAAGAAAGTCCAGCTTCCCGAAGTCCCACTATACGGCCCCTATCAAACTCACTAAGTTGACGAAATCGTACAGGTCTCCATACTCTAGGCATCGTAACCGATCGTAAAGGATGTCAAGAACCAAAATCCGCCAACGTTGATTCTTTACTGCGGCTGAAATATTCATTTTTAGAGCGTTAGTGAATTAAAAAAAAGCAGTATAAAAACCGGAATGTCCAACTGATAAGGGTGAAAATTTTTTCACTTGTTATTTACAGTAAAATAAATACATTCACCAACTTTTATTAAAATAAAACCATTTAAACTGGGTGTTCGGATTTATATGTCACTTAGTATATTAGTTATACCTGTTCCCAAAATGCCACTGGAATTCATAATTACCCTATTGCAATGAACCTAAATTCAATAAAATTTGCACATGTATCTTTGAAATACTAACAAAAACATTTTTTTTTAATTTGATACACTGCCTTTTTAGGACACATGTTTATATGACCTTTTCTGCTTTAACTTGGTTGAGAAATGCGCCCTTTTAATTACGGCCTATCATTAAGTAACACCCTGTATATATGTCGTGAAATTGACCTTATCATAAAATGATCAAACATTTTATGAGATGACCAACTAAATTTGACCATATCGTTAAATCGTCAACGTTCAACAATTTGGTAATCCACGATTATAATCATAAAAAATGGTGTCTATTGAATATTTAATGAAAACCCAGAATATGTTACGAACTCGTCCATTCTTCAAGTAACGACAATTACTAACTTTAAGAAACAAACAAATTGTCACAAATGAAATTTGACGTCTGTGGCCTCGTCACTCGGGTTGCTTGGCAACGAGGTGCTTCTATCTCTTTCTAACACACGTATTGCAGGCTTCCCGCGCTTCTCTCTCATACACATTTCGTCAGTGGTATGGTTTCAAAAGTACCCTCTCAACTTTGCTTTATTTGACGAATAACCTAATTAAATTACGAGTTTTGCATATGTAGAATAATATATAGATAGACAAATACAATATTTTAGTTGGTACGAGATTTTGACTTTGAATAAATGAATGATAAGGTAATTTACGTTTGAAATACTAACCTGTGAAATACGCACCGAACTCCACGTTTTTATTGGTACTGTGGTGACCAGCACCGCACGGGTATCACGTAAATTGAAAAGTGACATTATGCCCATTTTTTTGACATTATGCTGGCTTTTTTTGACAACCACTTTCTTCTCAGAGATGAACACTACAGACAAGGACCATTTGGCCCAACAAAACATATGCAACCAATAATGCGTGTTTAGTTGAGTGATTCCTCCTTAGATGGATGTTCACAACGATCCTGGTGAGCAAACGTGGAATGACTGCGCCCTAAAAACTACCTAGTCTGCAAGTTGACATCTTATAGGTTTTTTTGACGTTTTATAGGTTTTTAAAAACCTAAAAAATGTCAAAAAAAAACAACGAAATGTATTCTTTCAGACCAGGTAGTTTTTAGTGTGCAAATAGATCATTCCACGTTTAATCGTCTTGTAGAAAAACCCACGTTATGTCACAAAAATCTTGCCAAATGTCAAAAAAAAAAACAGACAAAACGTCACTTTCCAACAAGGTAATACCAGTGCCGCATCGTACTCGAGAACCCTAATACCTTTTTAATTTTCTTTTAAATCTCACTTTCGTCCTCATTAAGTAACGAACTATTAGAATTTTGACTTCGAAAAATAACTTTGTTATTAACGACTGCTGTGTTGAAATGTTTAACAAAGTGCTGCCAGCGCCTCGATAAGTATCTAACGTAAATATTTTGCGATTTGATCACACTAGAAGTGGCCTCGCTCTTAGACGATCATATCGTCATGCGATTTGTTATTTGGTCAATGCATATCGTGATCTGGTCAATAGATAATGGTACATTTCATGAATTGCGACCATTTCATAACATGGTAAATTTTACGATACGTGCATAAACAGATGAAAAAATCACTTTCTTTCAGGGTTGAAAAAAACTTGTTTTTTTTAACAAAAATCATGTTTTTTTTTGTTTAAAACTTTCAAATTTAGCTGAAAAAAAATTTTAAAACACTGTTAATACATGTTGAAAACAGTAAAAAAAAAAATTACAAAACTATTGCCTATATAATCTAGCAACGTTAATAAAGTTTATTGAAAGTGTTATTACTATTTTTGATCCAGCTCTATCAGAGCACATCTCTAATTTAAAAGCGGACGTCGGGAAGTACCGTTTGCCTTTGGGTAATTTTTCGCTTTGCTATTTGCGATCTCCAGCAGCCAAATGTGCGAAGTCGTAGCGTGGTGGTGTGCTTTGTTTTTTGTGCATTAAAGATCGGCAAAAAAAGAAAGGCAATGACAGGGAGGATAAAGGATCCCGTGTGGACTATTTTAAGGAGGCTGATGCCGAAGCTGGCTCGAAAATAAATAAAAGAACAAAATATTTAACCTGCACTGCCACTGGTGGCTAGAATGCGCAAGCATATTAAAAATTGAAAACAGCTTAAACAATGAAGTTTGTTAGAAAAACAAAATATTCATAAATCAGATAGTTCTGGTACCGACAATGATGATGTTTCTACCGAACCTATTTCCTCAAAGTTGAGTAGCTTGGAGAATTGTGAAAAAGGTACATTTTTTACTTGAAGTTCCGTAAAAAGTAGTAAAAAGTAAAAATTTATTCTCGTACATTTTCCATGATTTTATATTTTAAAAATATTGATTTAAGGTTTATTTTGATTTTTTGTTAAATAGATGGGTTGTATACTTTTATAGAAATTTGTGAAGTAACTTATTTAATGTTATTATACAAGTAAATATATATTCATATTATATAATTATTCTGCTGCTTGTAGTGTACTACTATTAGCGTTCAATGCAGTTTATTAAATTCACTCGTTCGTTAAGAAAGAGTTTTTTTTCCACTAGTTCCCTAGTTTCATGTTTGATTAATTAATAAAAAATAAGGTATATTTTTTAGTACCTGTGGCCCTTTTAGTTTCATTTTGCAAAATACAATCAATTTTAATCATACTTAAAAAAATATAAAAAACTTGAATCATTCACAAACGACAAAAAAAACAATGTTTAAAACATGTTTTGAAAGTTTGAAACAAATTGTTTTAAAACACCTTGATTATTTTAAACAGTGTTTGAAACACTTGTTTTAAACATTCTGATTAAAACATAACAATCCTGCTTTCTTTGGAAACATTCTTTGTGAGCCTCATATAGAGGTCGGAGTGGAATTGTTATTTTTTCACAGTACGGATTTGTAACATTTTTTCTAGTTTGTGCAGCATATAACTTATTTATTTTTCAGCCGATTCTACTGGTCTGTATTCCGTCTACGCACAATACCAGGACTGCGAGATAATGTTCCACGTCTCGACGATGCTCCCGTTCACGCCCAACAACAGGCAGCAGCTGCTCAGGAAGCGGCATATCGGCAACGATATCGTCACGATTGTCTTCCAGGAACCGGGAGCGTTGCCTTTCACACCCAAGGGAATCAGGTCGCAGTTCCAGCACGTTTTCATTGTAGTAAACGCAATCAATCCCTGTACGGAGAATACGCATTATAAGGTAAGGGTGATCCAATCGAGTTAGACATTATCAACGAATTCGACGACCCCGGCACGTGTTGGATGAGGTGGAGGTTATCAGTGGAAAAAAAAGATGAAATCTCGAAGGAATTTTCAATAGTTCTTCCAAAATCAATCAACGTTTAATTTAAAAAAAAAACCTTTCAAAATGATTTGCCATTTAATAATAAAATGATTCCGTCCTAATCGAACCTCATCAATCCATTTTTTTATTCGTCGACTGTGTGTTACCTTCACTGTTGTTTAAAAACAATTTCAGCAACAATCTCGCCGACTTACTCCAAACGATGAAGACATAGATCTTCGAAAGCTTGAGAGTTTAAGTTATAAGAGTGTACTTTTGCATTACTTTGCCTTCTACCCAAATAAATTAAAGGATATCTTCTCCGAACAGTTAAGGCAATTAACTATGAATATATACAGGGTGTCCGCAAAGTTGGGGTTTTCTTTTACACGACGTGTAGATCTTGAAAACATAAGCAATTTTTCTTAATACCAACCTTCAACCGACGGTTACGGTCACGCGTGTAGAGGTAATCGCGTAGACGAGAATCCCTCAACAATCACTAGAGACGTGGCTAGAGAAGTGCAAGTATCAAAAACTAAAGTGTGGCAAACGCTACGTGAAGAGGGGCTGTATCCGTTTCACGTTCAACGTGTACAAGCCCTTCAACCTGACGATTTTCCAGCAAGAGTGCGGTTTTGTGAGTGGTTGTTGCATCAACATGACAATAATCCAGACTTTTTGAAGTGCATATTGGTGACAGACGAATCTACGTTCACGCGTAATGGGGTGATTAACTTTCGCAACACTCATGTTTGGTCAGTAGAAAAACCGCACGCTGTCCGTCGGGCACATTTTCAACAAACATTTTCGGTGAATGTTTGGGCTGGCATGGTGAACGGTATGCTCATTGGACCATTTATTCTCCCAAATCGATTGGACGGGATGCAATACCTAGACTTTTTACGCAACATTTTGCCTTCCTTGTTAGAAGATGTGCCATTAAGTGTAAGACAATCAATGTGGTTTCTGCACGATGGTGCACCGCCCCATTTTAGACGCGAAGTGCGTGAGTTTTTGAATGAATTATTTCCGAATAGGTGGATCGGACGTAATGGACCCGTAGCGTGGCCTCCGCGATCTCCAGACTTAACACCATGTGATTTTTTTTTTTGGGAGAAATGAAACGCTTAGTGTACAAAACTGAAGTCCATATGGTTGACGAACTTCGTCTCAGAATTGAACAAGCTGGTGCTTTCATTCGGGGGAGGGACTCCATTCTCAAAGCCTGCACCGATGCTTGGCTACGTCGTGCACGCACCTGTGTTTTTGAATCAAACGGCGATAACTTCGAACAATACCTATAAAGTACGTTTACCTAAAAACTGAAAACGCGGCAACGCCGTCATATTTGTTACCTCTGTTCGTAGTCTGCACCACCGCCGGCGTCTACTCGGTAGCGCATCAGCTGATTTCATTTTCTGTTGGAGCGGTATGATTTCGGGCAGAGACGTACTTAGCCCTTCTCGTCAACTGGAGAGTGAGTACTTTTTCCTTAATTTTTTTTTACTTGGTCGCCCTCGTTTCACTACACATCACCTTTGTTATTTCAAGGGTAGTTGTTTCTGAAAAGGAAAACCCCAACTTTGCGGACACCCTGTATATATATACAGGGTGACGGGAAAATAGATGCGGAGCCGGTGGGGGGAGATAGTACAAGCCAATCTGAGTCGATTTTACTATACGAACTAGTGTCCGAAAATTAGCCGTTTTCGATTTATACTAATTTTTAAGATATTATAAAATTAACGTCCTTTATACGTTAACCAAGTCATAAAATTTGAAAATTGGGTGTTTCATTTGATTTGTTTTTTGTTTTACAATAAAAATATTCTAAAATACGAACATTGATACTCAAGTGTACACTATTGACGTTATCTCATGCAGTAAGCTTCAAAATAGTTCGATTTTTGTTAAAAAAGTCTTCGTACATCTCAAAAGCTTCAGTTTACTAGAAAAAGTCGCATACAAATTTTTCGTATAAAATAATTAGAAAACATCTACGTTTCATTACCTTTCAAATGATGAATCACAAATCGATTAAGAATTGACAACAATATGGCTATTATAAGAGGAGGAAGGAAAAAGCAATAAAAATACTACACTTACAAAATTATACCTTAATACAGGATAATTTGTTTGAAACTACAATTTTTTTATTTTTATAATACATTTTCAATATGGCTTCCTAAGAGAGGCTTGAATTTCTTGTGCTACATGTATTATCCTGTTTCTGAGGTCTTCTATTGTGGGTACAGGATTTTGATCAGAGTATACTAAAGTTTTTATGCGACCCCACACAAAAAAGTCCATAGGTGTGCGATCGGGACTGCGTGCTGGCCATGGGATTGGTCCGCCTCTACCGATCCATCGATTCGGAGCAAGGCAAAAATTACTATTTGTGCTGCGATATGAATCGATCACTTATTGTTAATAAATAGGAATAAATTGGTTAAAGCAAATAAACGAAAGTAAATATTTAAAACATACAGCATATGAACAATTTTGCTTAATTCGTGATTTTGAAGCAGACAAATACGAAACATTATCTTCATCAAACAGCAGCAATGACGGAATACCTGATATTGGAGATGGGACACCTTACAGGAACTTTACTAGATTTTTCTCAATAGTTGTCGAGATCCCAGCTGATTCATGGGCAAAAGCAAATACCTAGTTAAGCATAATACAGAAATTGCTGCTATATCATTGTCACTATATTTATCCAAAAAAGGATTCGGAAGTATTTTAATGAATCTTATATTGATAGTTTTTTTTTGCGTACTGACCTTCCTGCATAGAATCTGTGGTTCTAAAATGAGATCGTAAAATTACTACTTATAACACGAAAGTCCACTTTAGGTTCTAAATCAAAGAAGATAAAGTCAAATTTTAGTTCAATTAGATTAAAGCTTCCAACCGTCCTTTTCAATATCTTTTGCATCTTTCACTGTTGTTGTTAGGTGTACAATTCTGTTAACAGACCTTAGATTGGGACTGTGTGATCAGTGAAACAAGAAGTGGAGTAAAATGAATCAAAATCACCTCTCAACTATCCAGTATACAGGTCTTTAGTTGAGGGGTGATACAGGCGTGAACTTTAAATCAGTATAATACAAATATATGCGACAGCGCGGTCTTTTTAAAAGTAAAAAGTTGTCTCTACGGAATCTTACACAAATTCTTCAAACAAAAGAAAAAACTTAAAATTTTAGTCGAAGATGGTCACCCCTAGAAACAGCTGGAGGGGGGCATGATATTCGTAACTCCAAGAGCAGCGTCAAATTCAACTTTGCTATAATATTGACAATTTGTTTTTTGCAGGTGGCGGTCAGCAGATCGAAAGACGTCGAAGTTTTCGGCCCGCCGATAAAAGATGGTGCAATTTTCCCTAAAGGGAAAGTTTTCGCTGAATTTCTCCTTGCCAAAGTAGTGAATGCCGAAAATGCGGCGCATCGATCCGAAAAGTTCGTCACCATGGCGACGAGGACGCGGCAGGAGTACCTCAAGGATCTGGTGATGAACTATTCCACATCTACGCCTTTGGATACGGGACAGAAGTTTTGTAAGTTTCTCATTTTTTATTATAGTAGCATGGTAATTGTTCACCATTGTGATCACGTGAGACTTTTTAAACTGCACTCAACGACAGTTTCTATCGACGTTTGCGACTTCTGACTTGACAGCACGTCAAATATTCCATTATGTTAAGTAATAATATATTACAAAGAAACTTAGATTTCTGTTATACGAGGGATGTCTTTTAAGTTTTGCATATGGAAATAAAACAACACGATAGGTAGTTTTAAATGACTTTATTGTTTTTCGAAGTATTCTCCACGAAGATAAATACACATCGGCATGCGCTCGAACCAATTTTTGAAGCACTTATTCCACTCGTTTGCTGGCAGATCCAAAACGGCATTTTTGAATGCGTCAACTGCTTCTTCAGGTGACTGGAACCTTTGACCACGCAGTCTGTTTCTAATTTTCAGGAAAGTAAAGAAATCGTAAGGACTTAGATCGGGACTATATGGAGGATGATCCAATAATTCCACGTTTTCTCCCGTTAAATACTGCCTTGTTTTTTGGGCTGTGTGCGAGCTTGCATTGTCTTGGTGGAGGATGATTCTTCTTTCGGGGTTGATTTTTCGAAGCTCGGTGATGACTTTTGGCAAACAAGTGGTGGTATACCAATCCGCAGTAACAGTTCCTTGCTCATTAAGAGGAATTGTTGCAATATGACCCGCGTTTGACACAAATGTCGCGACCATCTTTTTCGAAACACTTCGAGAACGGATGACTTTTGTTGGCTTTTCTTCACCTTGGAACACCCAAACAGCCGACTGTCGTTTATTTTCTGGTTATCCAACGAGAAACTAATTTTTTACTCCTAATTCTTCATGTAAATTTTTTTGAATTGAGGTCTTTGAGATCTTCAAGGACGCCTCAATCTCGCGATATGTCACATGTCTATCTTCACTGATGAGTTTGCGCACAGCATCAACGTTTTCCTGGGTGACTGCCGTTTTTGGTGCACCCACCCTGGGATCATCGCTAAGACTCACCCGTCCACGTTTGAATTCTCTATACCAACGGGAAATTGTCAACTGATGTGGCACTTCGTTGCGAAGAAATGTGAAATTTTAGAAACAATATAATACTTTTAGGTGATTTTAATTTAAATTATTATGGTAAAAGCATGAAAACAAGAAAATTGAAAGAAACGATAAACAACTATGGGTTCAAGCAAAAAATTGAAGAGAGTACCAGAATAACATCATTATCAGAGACTTTGTTAGATCTTGTTATTGTAAATTTCGAACGTGCAGGGATTAAAGCTGTACATACACCTAAAGTTAGCGATCACAGTTGGACAATGCTGCCCTTGGTAGGGCATTTTTCTGATACAAAAATTAAGAAAATCGTAAATACTATTAAGTACGAAAAACTTAAACGAGAACTTGCTGGCTGCTATTGGAATTTTGGTGAGAATATGGAAAAAATATATGACAACATAATAGGAAATATAAAAACTTGTTTAGATCTTGCAACTGATAAAAAAGTGATTTGCTCGACAAAAAATACACCCTGGTATAATAAGAATATTAAGACAGCTCAAAATTTGAGAGACAAACAATACAATAAATGTATATTCACAAAATCAAATGATGATTGGGAGGTATATAAAACTCTTAGGAATAAATGTGTATATGTAATTAGAGAAGAAAAAAGGAAATTCTACGATAAACAAATCGATAATAACAAGTGCGACAGTGTAAAGATGTGGAAGACTTTAAAAAGACTGATCAATTCGAAGCCGCATGATTGTGTAAATCAAGTTCAATTCGAAAACGGTACCGAAACAAATTCTTTGGTGATTGCAAACAAACTAAATGAATATTTTGTGGAAAGTATTGTTGATATTGTGGGTACTGCCAATGTTGCACCTGACTATATGAAAATCAGTTTCCAGGGGGAAATGTTGCATACACTTTCAAAATTTCACAGCGTATCATTGAATTATCTAAGAAAAAAGTAAACAGTTTAAAATCAAATAACAACTGTGCCGAAATCACTACTAAAAACGTGCTGAAAAACTGTTTCGAAATTTTGGGATATCCTGTATTAAATTGGATCAATTGTTCACTGAGAAGCAGTTCTTTCCCTGAAAATTTGAAATGCTCTAAAATAACACCAGTTCCCAAAATAAAAAATTCTAAAAGATGCAGCGATATGAGACCAGTAAATGTGTTACCAGACATTGAAAAATTATTAGAGTCCATAGTGCATGACCAATTAATGCAGTTTATAGAAGAAAACAAAATTTTAGTGGAGGCGCAAGCAGGCTTTCGAAAAAAATATTCCACAGAAACAGCTTTCCAGTTGGTAACTGAGAATTGAAGAAGAGCCATAGAATCAGAAGAAGTCGTCATAGCAGTATTTTTGGATTTGAAGAGGGCATTTGAAACGATTGATAGAGATATTGTGTTAGGTAAATTGAAGGCATATGGTATAACAGGAAGTGTTTTAGATTGGTTTAGAAATTATTTGTCTAAAAGGATGCAAGTTACAAAAGTTAATGACACTATTTCATCAAAAATTGAAAATACGTTGGGTGTTCCACAGGGCAGTATCCTGGGACCGCTTCTTTTTATTTTATACATAAATGATTTACCTGCCATAGTCAAAAAATGCAAAATTCAGATTTTCGCCGATGACACTATGATTTATATAAGTACTAAAAATATTCAGCCTGGTATCTCTTATATAAATGAAGACTTGAAGCTTGTCTTAAAATGGTTAGCATCTAACAGACTAAAATTAAATGCAAGTAAAACGAAAGCCTTGTTAATCGGAAAAAAACAATGTACAAATGTTCAACTGAATATTGATGGTGAAGATATTGAATTCGTAGAAAATTTTAAATACCTGGGGGTTTTTGTTGACTCTCGATTAATTTTTGATATTCATTATGAAAAAGTTATAAATAAGATTAGTAGTAAAGTGGGATATTTATCGAGAGTTTCTGAATGTCTGAGTTCATATAGCAGAAAAATTATCTATAATACCATCATTCTTCCAAATTTCTTGTACTGTTCGACTATTCTATATTTAGCAAATAATTCCATTTTTGAAAGACTGCAAATTTTACAAAATAAGTGCATGAGAATAATACTAAATAAAGATAAATATACTTCAATTAGGCAAATACTTAGCAAATTAAAATGGTTCAATGTAAAAAAGTTTATCAAATATCTTGTAATGATATTCATTTATAAAGTAAAAAATAATATATTTCCATCAAGTCTAACTAATTTAACATCATCAAATGTCAACCATCATTTACATAATACCAGAAATAAAGATGACTTCCATTTAATGACCAAAAATATAACAAATCTGAATTCCAACAAGGGTTGATTGAATATAATAAATTATACTCGGAGATAAAAGACCAGAAAACTTTGACAAAATTTAAAGTAAAATTGAGAAATCACTGTTAAATCTACAATTATAGGTTGCCCAGCATTTACATCATACACCATTTGGCTTGAATTTACTAGTTCTAAGTTGTTTACAATTGTTCTGTTTATGTAGCCGAATGTGCTAAATAAATCTTTCTACTACTACTACTAGTAACTCAGCAAGGCATTCTTGTTGCAATAATTGTCTCCGAACGTTGCAATAAATTATGGCGCGAAAATGTTCTCGGTTGAGTTCCATTTTTCTAATGACTTGGTGGCACTTAAAAATTCACTGTAGTGAGAACACTGCACGTATTGTTGTAAAACTTTGAATTTAGGTTTACTAAATGGTGAGGTTAAGATTCAGTACTGACGTTCGATCCGCGCTGCCTACTATGTTTCTATATGCAAAACTTAAAAGACATCCCTCGTATAAGCTCAGATATTGCGACCAAATTCCCAATAAAACTCAATTAAAAAATTTGTCATGCACTAGTTGAATGCCACGTCGCCTGTGGAAATAAAGGGTGTCCCAAAATTAACGCAAGATTTGAATTAAATAGAAAATGCCATTTTTAGTCTTTTAATAGTTATATTTTTATTGACTCATAAAGTACATAGGATAGGGTTATGTATGGAATAACACATCGGACAAATGGCCTCCACGGCTTTGCATGCACATGCGCACTCTTTTGTCGAAATTTTCCATGACCCTTCTGCATAAATGTGGCTGAATTTCGTTGATGCAGCGTTGAATCTCCTCCTTTAATGCACGGGTGGTTGTGGGCTTGTTGACATAGACTTGTGATTTCAAATAACCCCATAAAAAGAAGTCTAATGGTGTTAAATCACACGATCTAGGAGGCCAATTTTGATCACCGAAACGAGAGAGTACACGACCGGGAAATGTCTCGTGCAGTAATTGAATTGTTTCACGGGCTGTATGACATGTGGCACCGTCTTGTTGAAACCACATATTGGGTACATCAATATCATTCAATTTTGGCAGAAAGAACTGTGTAATCATGTCGCGATATCGAGCACCAGTAACAGTCACTGCTTGACCAGCATCATTTTCAAAAAAATATGGCCCAATTATGCCTCCAGCCCAAAATCCACACCAGACAGTCACGCGTTGTGGGTGCATTTCTTTTTCGACAATCACACGTGGGTTCTCCGAACCCCAAATGCGGCAATTTTGGCGATTGACAAAGCCATCAAGATGAAAATGTGCTTCATCGCTTAGGATGATTTTGCTTGAAAAATCAGGGTCCATTTGTTGATGTTCAATAATCCATTCAACAAACTCTCTTCTCTCTGCATGGTCATTAAGCTTCAATTGTTGTGTTAATTGAAGTTTGTAAGCATGAAGACACAGATCTTTGGTGAGTATACGCTGTAGAGAGGTTCTTGACATTTGCAATTCTTGTCCACGACGTCGAATTGAGGTTCCTGGATTGTCCGCAACACTCTCACGCACTGCTTCGATATTCACATTTGAACGGCTTGTTTTTGGACGACCAGTGTGTTTGGCGTCTCCAACGGATCCAGTCTCCATGAATTTTTCAATTAATCTCTTCACAGTTGACGAAGTTAAAACACTATTCCGGCCATATTTTGTATGAAATTTTCGAACTGCAGCCGCCAAGCTTTCACTATTTTTGAAATATTCTTTAATAATGAAGACACGTTGTTCTATCGTGTAACGCTCCATTTTTCATAACCCTATACTGTTAGCTGTCAAATTGTTTTTTTTTCAGGGTTGCCAACACTTCACTGCACAAATGGCGGCAAATTCAAATCTTGCGTTAATTTTGGGACACCCTTTATTATCTAGGAATCCACGAATAACAACCATCAAAATTCTTGACAAATCATACAAAAATTATTCTTATAAACAGCGTTATAAACCCCCCTAGGTCGCTCATTATAGGATCAAACCTTTTTATAAAAAATCATTTTGGTATAACGTTATATTAAAATTCCATATAAACCCTTCACCATTTATAAAAATTATGAATATTATACTAGAAATAAAAATAAACTAATAATCAATGTAACACCAGTAAAGGAAAGAATTGATATGTGTATTCAGGTCCAAAATTATATCATAACTTACCAGCACACATAAGAAAAAACCGAATATCATCATTAAAAATATATTTATACGAGTGCTGTTGAATATTGATGATGTAATTTGTCATTTCCGCAGTAATAATCTATGATACAAAATCAATGTATTACATTTATATTTTATCAATAAATTTATTGTAACTACTATGTTATATGTTATGTGTTATAATGATACGAGTATTCACGCAAGGATATTTTCCTTTTGTGCCATTTCAATTTATTCACATTTATAATTGATATGAATAAATATTATTTCAAAACAATTGTATGTAATGCAAATATATTAAGATATTGTTATTTATACGAAAGTAATAAAAATATACAAATTCATATTATTGACATATGGAGCATTTCAATTTTAGAGATGTCAACCATACATTTTATACAGGGTATAAACGTTATGATTTTCATTATTTAAAAGCCAAAAGTTTCATATACCATGGAGGTCAAAACGGCATTTTTTTATAGAAAAGCGACTTTAAAGTAAAATAAAATCTGACAACGCCGCAATGCCAGACGCAAATTACTACGGAACGCAGTGTAAATAAAGATGGAGTTTGTAATTTTTGGCTCTTAGGTATTATTTCATTATTTGATAATGTACTCGTAAAATGCAAACAATTAAAAAAAACGACTCACCACTCACTGCCTCAGCGCTTTGGTGTGTGAAAGTTTATTGAACGTACTAAAAAAATCCACTTATAAATAGGGAACACAATTTTGATACATACATTGTTTTTCTTTTTAAAACCCACACTGCACTTTTTTTGTATTTAAAGAAGGTGTTCAAAATGTCGTCCTCCCCTTTCCACACAAGTTTCATTACGAGGAACCCAGTTTCTTTTTACTCTAGGTCCTCGAAGTTGTCCATTTATTATTTCAGCCGCATTAAATTTTTTTTCGCGAAGTTGTGCTTCAGTTGTTATTGGACCAGCCCCATAAACCATCCCTTTAAGTTCTCCCCAATACTACAAATCCATCGGATTGAGGTCAGGAGATCTTGCTGGCCATTTTCGAGGATCAGGAGCATTTCGACCGATCCAGCGATTTGGATAATGTTCATTCAAATACTGAATGACGCCTCTAAATGTGTGGTGGTGCCCCGTCATGAAGAAACCACAAATTCTGTCTTCGTTGTAATGGCATGTTGTCTATTCCAAGAGTTCTGGTAGGTTATTGGCTAGAAAGCTGAGGTATCCGTCTCCTGACAACTTTGGGGGTAACTCGAAAGGGTCAATTACCTGATCGTAAAGAATACCCACCCAAATATTTATTTTAAAACGTTGTTGGAAATGACCTTCACGAATGGTATGAGGATTTCCTTGGACCCACGTGTGAGTGAGATTATGGTGATTGTAAGTTGTCAACTATAAAGCCATTTAGACAAAAATCTATTGACTTTTGGACCATGGGTCATATGAACCTTTTGACTTGTTTTGACTCCCCCCTATTACCCATTTCATTAATGACTACCATAACGTTTACACCCTGTATATAATTTTTACTCTTTTCTTACGAATTATTTAATCATATTCGAACCATATTTGAAAACTGAATTACTACTTTGGAATCGGTAATTACAAAACAATCGGAAGAAATACCAATTGTAGATTATAAAAGACTGGACATGGACACATCGTTTTCTTTAATCATTGTATATTTCTTTATTGCATGCTATTTTCACTTTGTTAGCATTACGTTTCATTCAGAAATTATTTAATTTTCGATCGCTGCGTGTTAATAGAAAAAGTAGTTGGAATACAAAATTTATTTACAACTCAGTATCTTGCACTACAGCGATATTCGGCAGTAAGAAGAAGGACAAACCGCGACCCCGTTTCATCCCTGATCTGTGTCAGAGAGGCGCCATCTTGTGGCAAGTTTTACTCGACGACAGCGGACAAGGCAGACAGGTTAGTATGATTTTTCAAAGGAAAAAATCTATCGAACTTCGCACATTTTACGTGGTGTCGCAGTCAATTTCCGGTAATTTGTCAGCGGTAACTCTTAGGCTCGGTTTTTCCATCGCAAGTTAACTTCCTGGTTAGTTAACTATAACCAGAAAGTTATCTTGTAAATACGTAACTGAACAATTTCGACAGCGCAAGTTAACTTACCAGAAGTTCATCATCAACCCTGCATCTGTGGTTCTTCTGTGTCATGTGTGTCATACGTGACAGCTCGTCTTTTTTTTAATGAAATTTTATAAAATAATCTAAATTTGAATAAAAGCTTCGTCACACAAAGTAACTAATAAACATTACATAGGTCAAAGATTACATTAAAGTTTGTAAATATCTGTTAAATATCGTGTTTGTGACCTTTTTCAGCATCACTTCAGCAGCGGAAAAAACGGCTAATACTGCTGCTAAAGTTTATCAAAAACTGTTTTCTACCAAGGTCGTATTTAACCTTTGACTGACCTTAGCGGCTTAAGTACAACTTAACGTAACCAACATTTCTCTTCTAGGTGGAATGTTTCCTGGGCATATCCTCGGACACGTTCGTCCTGATCGAAGAGCAATCCCGCCAAATCGTGTTCGTAACACCCTGTAAGTCGATCCTGGGCTGGTCACCTCAGACCAACAGCCTCAGGGTGTATCACCATCAAGGGGAGTGCATGACCATCCACATGCGGGACTGGCACGTTGACAGGGACGAACTCATGGAGATCATGGATCGATTGAAGGCCGTAACTGGTGGACATGTCGCACAGGAGTTTACCATTAGGTATGATTGAAAATGATCTACAGTATGTTACCATTAACTGTCTTATAATTAATTGGAATTTGGGGTCTAAAGAAACACAGTTTGCTTTTATAAAGTTGCTGACGTTTCGGAAAAAAATGTTTCCTTCAGGTAAAATGTTGTGAAATACTAACTTTACATATACGTCAATGAACAATTTTAATAATAAAATCGACGTAAAAGATACTTATTTTGGTTAAGATACTATACAAAGTTTTGCAATACAGCTTTATTTATTGACTTCGTTCAAAGTAATTTCCACCACAGCCAATACACAACTCCACCTGCCAAAACCAGTCCTTAAGCCAGCTCTGCCAAGTTTCGTCCTAAATGATTGTCTCAATATAATTGGAGAAAAATTATTATTATTGGTGGATCATTGTTTAGTAGATGGTGAATTCCCATCAAAATTAAAGTGTTCCACCATTACTCCTGTGCCAAAAGTTCAAAATTCTCAGATGTATACTAATATGCGTCCGATTAATGTATTTCCCAATGTCGAGGAGCTGTTCGAAGCGATAATATACGAACAAATCAAAGAATTCATTGAAGAAACCAAAATTTTGATAACAAATCAAGCTGGATTTAGAAAAAAATGTTCCACAGAAACGGCAATCCAAATGGTGGTGGAAGACTGGAGAAGAAGTATAGATGAGAAAGAATATATTGTAAGAATATTTTTAGACTTCAAAAGGGCATTTGAAACTATAGATAGGGAAAAATTGTTAATGGAATTGTGTCACTATGGCTTTAAAGGATCAGTATTACACATAAATAGAAGTCAAAAAACTAAAGTTGGAAATATTATGTCAAGTGTTCAAAATATATCAGTAGGGGTACCACAGGGGAGTAAATTAGGGCCGTTACTATTTATCATTTATATAAAGGATATCTCTGACATTTTAGAACACTGCAAAATTCAAATATGAGCTGAAACATTGTCATAGTGGAGGTCCATTTTTGACTTTCGCCGCAGGTTTTTTATAGACTCTAAGACTTTAGGCAGGCACTGTTCCGTGTACCACTTAGTTGTGACTGTCTTCCGTGTGTCCAAAACGACACGCTCTACAGCTATCATTTTTTTCTCAACAGATCAAATCATCAAAGACCCAAACTTTGTTTTGAGCCTTAGTCGGCACATCGTAATAATAAAGTCAAGTCGCATCACTTGTCACTATATTGTTCTCATGCCGAGGTTGCCCCTTATCAAACATTTTCAGCATCTTTCGACACCAAATCCTACGACGAGTGTGCTCTTCCGTCAGACTAGGCGGTACCCAGAGAGAACAAAGTTTCTTTACGTGTAATTGGTCATGCAGAAGTAAATAAATTGCTGGTGCTTGAAGATGTAAGGTCTTCTCTATCTGTTGGTCATTTTTCTCACAGCAGTAATATTTTCCTCTGTTACTGACCTTCGCGGCCTTCCTTCCCTCTCAGCGTCCTCCAGAGTGAAATTGCCCCTTTGGAATTCTCTGTACCACCTAAATATAGTGGTATGATGAGGACAATCATTCTTTAATTCAAGTCATTTCTTCTAAGCACTGGTATGTGCTTGAACCACGCGTAAGGTTATACCGCAAAACTGCCCTTATCTTACTACGTGACCACGATGCCATAGCCCGCACTTTACACTGTCAATACGAATGAACAGCTCAATCAACAGACGTGCTGCTGGCGGCTACTATGCATTCATGGACATATCTCAACATGCAGCCTCCTGCGTCCGTTTGTTAAGAAATATTGCAAAACTTTTATAGGAATACTGATTAATTTTACTGAAGGCCATTTATTATTTTTTCAGTCGTAACATAATGGGTCAACTGGGCTTCCACGTCCAACCAGACGGCATCGTAACTCTAGTCGAAAGCGCTGGTCAAGCCTGGCAAGCTGGTCTAAGGCAGAACTCTCGTCTAGTAGAGATCTGCAAAGTGGCCGTTGCGACTCTCACCTATGACCAAATGGTGGATTTGCTGAAGGTAAGTTTCTTCTTTTATTTTATGATCCATCATTTATACATGCTTAACGTCTTTTTAAAGTTTTATATAAGGATAAGGAAAATGAGGTACGTTAATCGTTGTAGATTGAATGGCCTTTCTCACAGTTGTGTTTAGCTATCGGGAAGCAAGGTTATCAAATGCCAAGAGGTGATGAAACACTGTTGCTTCCTAAATTAGTAAAAAATGTGTCGAATCGTATTATTGATTAACAAATTCTACCAGAAGATACCCATTTAAGTTGAACGTAGTGCTTATGCTTACCACTATACACGATGTCCTCAAAGTTGAGCAAAAGCAAATTTTCTTAGTAACACATATACTAAAGCTTTAAAATAAAATGTACGACATGCGTCATTATCCAAATCAGATGCTGCGGGGTGTGTAGGTTAACCTAACTGTTTATTTACAAATTGATTTTAAAAAAACGGAAGTGGCACATTTCAACAGCAATAACGACATTATTGATTTGATGTTTGTTTGTTTATGGCAAGTGAGACAGCCCCAAATGTTCCAAATATAATAATTCGTTTTCACGTTTTCACTGCCGTTTTAGTGCATATTAGCTTTGATATTTGAGACGTAGTTATTTTTTGAAAATGAAAGTCCTATAACTTTCACACTCTCAGAATACTCTATGCACGTGTTGACCTCCATCTTTAGATGTTAGCGTGCCAATTCTTGGACAGTTGCTGCAAATTATGGGATTTCCTTTACTGCCATTAAAACATTTGAGGAAATGAAATTTTGAAAATAATTACCAGGGAGGTTGAGAGGTGACCTTGGAAGGTCGATGTCATGTTCAACATAGGATTGGGCGTATGGACATCTTCTTGGAGAATACGTTAATCAATGATTGTATGAAATTCATTGATGCACAAAAGATAGTTAGATGTTATATCTTCTAGAGTAAAAGTTGTTGAAAATCAATCTTTAAATGCATTGCATTTCTCTCTTCAACTTTTGTCAAACTTTGCATGTTTCTCAATTTTGTGTATCTTACATTTTTGTATTTATTTTTTTAAATAAGGACGTATTGAATGAAGTAAATAAAAATCCAGCAACTACTTAAGCAAGTTTGAACTAAAGCAGGCCAGGTCTAAAATAACATATCACAATTTTTTAATGTAAAATCTCAAATAATCTAAATTGTCTGTCACTGAGTAGCTATGGCACGGTAATCATCTGACTAACAATTTTAGTATCACAATATCCACATCGAACTTTCACAAAGTAGTTTTGATTCTTACATGTGATGTATGTCTTCTTACTTAATGTGCTGTTTGGAAACTTTTTCACACCTTTCATGTTCATTTCATCCATTCAGAAATATGAAATCTCTGATTAAGATCGAACTTGTGTCGAAGAAAATGTAACTGAAAGGTGAAAATAAAGCTACCGCCTTTAGTTGGGTACTTCGACAAAATTCAAGCAATGAGGACTCTGTAGACTTTATTAGTCTCTAGCTTTCAATGGACTTTGCCATCATCATCAGGAGCTGCAATAACATTAAGAAGAAGTAGCAACTATTGTGCAAAATGATTTTAAATTACTTACAGTAGTATGTGAGATTGTTGTAATTTAAAATCATTTTGCAGAATAGTTGCTACTTCGTATTAATGTTATTGCAGCTCCTGATGATGATGGCAAAGTCCACTGAAAGCTAGATACTAATAAAGTATAAAGAATCCTCATTGCTTGAATTTTGTCGAAGTACCCAACTAAAGCGGAAGCTTTATTTTTCACCTAACTGGTCTAGACGGCAATGACCACGTCTCAAGTTATATATATATATATATATATATATATATATATATATATAAAAGTTCACCTACGTGTCCGAAACATCAGTAAATCTTTGAGGTTAGAAAAATAAATGAATACACTTGTCATACGTCACCAGACCAAGGTCAACTAGATACGGAAAGACTTAGTCGATACTTAATCAGAGATCTCTACTATCCATCTGTTCTGATGTTTCTTTACTTGCCAAACCTAACCAACTTATTCAAGTTAACTAAAATCTGTTATATCCACTACAAGACGTCGATCACCGTGACTCTAACCGTGATTCCGCCCTTGCCTGATGGTTCTCCTAGAAAGGGATGCACTCTTCAGAACTGCAAGTACAACGAGCCCCACTATGAGGGGGACTATGAAAACACGAATAGCGAAGAAGGTAAGTTATTTTTTTCCAGTAATTTACTTTCACTTCGGCTACCGCCGAGAACGTTCGATTAAAAACGTGTACCCTACGTACGATTACATAACGTGGCGAGCTCTCAAGGTCACAGAAATTCACACGAAAATTCAACGTGGGTTCTTCTACAAGCGATTGACGATTATTGAAGAAGGGTGGACAAATAAATCTATGTATTTTTTCGCGTCTGGACGACAATACTGATATAATAAGTTGTACACTTACTAATTACACTGATAAACACAGGATTTGTGACATGACAATTTTATGTATTTTGAGACCCTTAAATCAAATCTAAAAACAGCAATTTTTTATCACCCACAGATATTCAGTAACATCTACTTTTATGAATTACAATACGTAACATCTCATATTGCTGCATTTCTCGGCGTTTAGGCGATGACGCACATATATAATGTTAAGACCTGTCTAATCCTGTTTATAATATGCGAGCTCTATGTTTAGAGAGCATATTGCGTTTATTAGTAGACTAGTAGCAGCCGAGTCAGTTACGTTCTCTGGGTTGAAGAGTACTGAAATGTTCCGAGTACTGTTAATTTTTGTTAAAACGGTGTGTTGTTTTTAGTTTATTGTGATCGAACTAGCTTTATGGACAATGCCTAGAAATTGTATAAATAGTGCGAACAGTTTTTGTTATGTGTGCGGAGAGCTAACTTTTAAATCCCAAAAACGTACTTTTACTCCCCTTGTGTTGAAAGCTACAACTGATTGCTATTTTTGCCTCACAAATATTATTGGACCAAAATCGAAACATACTGTTAAGTATTTTAATTTACCATCAGCTTTGCGGCCCGTTGAGCATAGTGATGAACTTTCTGTCCCAGTTCCACCAGAATCGTGGTCTTTGGATGAAAAAGTAGAATCCACCGAGATTCTGAAAGTGATGGTACAGAAAGCGTAAAAATTTCCGGTCCTTCGTTTGACCTGCCAGGATGTTCAACAGCGCCGCATTTGATCACACAGGACGAACTTAATGACTTAGTTCGAGAATTAAAATCCCAGTCAGAACCTTCAGCGTCAAGATTAAAAGGATGATGTTAACATTGCTTTTTATCGAAAACGGCAACAAGACCTCACACACTGTTTCCGTCAAGAAAGGGAGTTGATATATTGTTCCGATGTCAACAATTTGTTTCACGCATTAGGGCAGAAACATTATTCAAATGATTGGCGCTTATTCATTAATTCCTCTAAGCTTAGTTTAAAAGCAGTATTGGTACACGACGGTAAAAAATATCCATCGGTACCTTTAGCGTACGCAGTTCATATGAAGGGATCATATGAAAATATGCGAGTTCAGTTAGAGGTTAGAGCATTCCGTTATATTGAATATGGATATGCCATATGTGCAGATTTAAAGTTAATAGCCATTCTTCTTGGAATGCAACTGGGATATACCAAATAGTATTGTTTGTGAATGGGACAGTCGTGCGCGAGATCGTCATTATGAACAGAAGGAGTGGCCACTACGTCAGGTATTATCTCCGGGCCTCAAAAACATTGCTCATGAACCACTAGTTGATCCCAAAAACGTGTTCCTTCCACCTTTGCATATCAGGTTGGGACCAAGACATTTCTGCTATGGAAAAACGGTATCAAGGCAAATTGAGTGTCGATTTGCTTGCTGATTATTGCTGGACGTTGTTAAGAGAGACTTCAGGAGCAGCATATCGCCGTAAAACATCGGCAACAACATTTTGAGATTAATGTTTATTCGAGTGTTTATTATCTTACACACACATCTTTATATTTCACGAGTATAAGCAGCAAGTAAAATGCCTTATTGCAAGAAAACCGTGGGTGATAGAAAAAATCGAATGCTATTTCAGGATTTTTGGGTACGTTTTACATAATAACCACCTTGTTTCTATGGTACAAACATTATTTTAATTTTGTTCACCAGTGTTATTGATACCCGGGGAATGTTATGTGTAAGGTTTTATCCGTGAATTCATCGTCGTTTTCCAAATCTACTGCCATGGAAAGAACCAAAACCTCTGCCATCAGCGTCAAGTCGGCAAGACAGCGGTTAGCGATCGCCCCACTCAACCTGTGACTGTCAATCCATACAGACGTTTTATTTTGCACTAGCTAAAGGGTGATTTTTTAAGAGGTATAGGATTTGATTTAAAAAAACACAAAAAATTTGAAAAAACGATTAAATCTTTATTTGAGTCGATAGAACGGTCGATATAATTTAATTTTTAAAGATTATTTCATGTAAATGTTGGCCGCGGCTCCGCTTTAGATGGCCCATGCGCAAGGTCCAATTTTGGCACACTCTCTCCAACATATCGGCCGGTATCTCACGAATAAATGCTTCAATATTGGCTTCCAGTGCGTCAATCGTTGCTGGTTTATCCCTGTAGACATTAGCCTTAACATGGCCCCACAAGAAATAGTCCAACGGCGTTAAATCACACGATCTAGGCGGCCAATTGACGGGCCCCAAACGTGAGATAAACTGTTCACAAAACTCGCCTCTCAATAGGGCCATTGTTTCGTGTGCGGTGTGGCATGTGGCATCGTCTTGTTGAAACCACATGTCAGCCAAGTCCAGCTCTTCCATTTTGGGCAAAAAAAGTTTGTTATCATCGCACGTTAGCGCTCGCCATTCACAGTTACGTTCCGGCCATTGTCGTCTTTGAAGAAGTACGGCCCGATGATGCCACGGGCCATAATCCACACCAAACAGTGATTTTTCTGGATGGATTAGTAGCTCTTGCAATGCTTCTGGCTGGTCTTGACTCCAGATGCGGCAATTTTGCTTGTTAACGTACCCATTCAACCGGAAATGAGCTTCGTCGCTGAACACAATTTTTCGATAAAAATGTGGATCTTCCTCCAACTTTGCCAGCGCCCATTCACCAAATTGGAAACGTTGTGGGAGGTCGTGTGGCTTCAATTCTTGCACCAGCTGTATCTTATAAGGTTTTACACCCAAATGCTGTCGCAAAATTTTCCACGTAGTGGAGTAACAGAGGCCCAATTGCTGCGAACGGCGGCGAATCGACATTTCACGGTCATCACTAACACTGGCGGATACCGCCGCAATATTTTCTTCAGTCCTCACTCTATGTCTGCGTGTTGGTGGTTTAATGTCCAATAATGTAAACTGGGTCCGAAATTTAGTCACAAGCTTCCGAATAGCTCCCTTAGTAGGCCGACCAAATTGCCCATAAATTGGAAGCAGTGCTCGATGCACTCTCTTAACCGAGCATGAATTTTGATAGTAAAATTCAATAATTTTCCATCGTTGTTCGTAAGTCGATTCATGGTTAAATTATAGACCAAACTGAAGAAGGTTGACAATGACACAAGACACGATTCACGCGTCATCTGTCAAAAACAGTGTTGCCAAAAAGATACTAGCAAAAAAATCACCCATTATTACCAGCCACTGCGTGATGCTAACACAAAACATTGTTTTCAATTTATGCTACAAACTTCCGATTACGTTTTGTATCTGTTATGTATCCCCCTATAGCCCCACGGAAGCCCATGGGTGTTTAGGCCTTAGGCCTTCGTGGTAGTTGGAGTATAAAAAAAATTTACAGCTAACTTGCTTGGGAAATTTGGTTACTTTATTACTGGCCCAACCTATACATCTCGCTGGTAAAACCGCGTAAACTGGTTGATAAACTGCGAAGCTTATTGGACATTTCATTCTTTTATAGCTCAAAAACTGTACAGGGTGTAAACGTTACGGTAGTCATTATTGAAATGGGTAATAGCAGGGGTCAAAACAAGTCAAAAAGTTCATATGATCCATGGTCGAAAAGTCAATAGATTTTTGTCTAAATGGCTTTATACTTTACAACTTTAAGTTCACCACAATCTTACTAATTTTTATAATCTAATCTAAAATGTTTTTAAATTGGGTAATTAACAAATAAATGGCATTAAGTTTTTCTAAGTTAAGCCAAAATGTGTAGTCAGTAAGTTTCATTAAATTAAATATTTAATACATACATGACAACAGCGCGTCGGCTATCATCACTCTTATCGAACCGTCTATCGATCGCAAACGGTAACAGTGGTTAGTATGTTGTTTTGTTTTTGTTCGCGTACGTCGTCATGTTTATTTACAATGTTCTCGCCGACGGTTTACGGTGAAGCTCGTCATATTTCAAATCTTGCAGCTCAAATTTATTGCGACAGATTTCGCCAACGGGTACACCCAGACAGAAGGACATTTGTGCAAGTGTACCAAAGACTTCGGGATGCAGGAAGTGTTCAGCCCACTAATATTCACAATCGTGAAAGACAGGTTACTGTATATCAGCACTCGGGAATTAGGCCGCCGCGTAGGACTATCGCATATCATAGTCCATAGAATCCTATGGGAAAATTTGCTTTATCCCTACCATGTACAACGAGTTCAGGCCTTGTTACTAGAAGACTGTCCTCACAGACTAACATTCTGTCAGTGGTTTTTGCACAAAAACATTCTAGCCACGCACGAATCTACTTTCACTCGAGGCAGGATATTAAATTTCCATAATACTCACACGTGGGCTCAAGAAAATCCTCATACCATTCGTGAAGGTCATTTCCAACAACGTTTTAAAATAAATATTTGGGCGGGTATTCTTGACGATCAGGTATTTGGCCCTTTCGAGTTACCCCCAAAGTTGTCAGGAGAAGGATGATAATAATAACAATAATAATGTCTTTATTAATCCCTCCACACTGCGAGGCGAAGTTTAGCCAGCTGGCTACTCTACCACTTAAACTCACAGCGCAGGAACACATACCAAAGGAAAAACATAACAATGAATAGCAATCGACTAAATAATATATACAATAATTAAGCTTAAATAGATTAATCTTAATATGTTGTACATCTATTCCACATAGCCCGCTCTAAAAAAAACAATAAAGACAAAAAAAAATTAAATGTATCAGCCAGCTTGGCTAGCAGACCCCAGAAGGTGGTTCTTAATGGCTCTCTTGAAAGCAAGTATTCCCATCTTTTTGTAATTGTCATTAAGACTATTATACACCTTGACAGCGTTGTAGGTGAAGCTACGATGGAAAATGTTGCTCCTATAACTAGGTATATGGAAGTCAGAGTTATGTCTCAGATTCCTGTAATTGAGATCCCCACGTGGTACCAGCCTTTTTAGTAGATAAGTAGGGCCTATTGATTTTTATTCGTTGTACTAAAATTAGTAAGTTATATGTGAAAAGCTGGTCAACCCTCAACCATCTAAGCTCATTGATCTTCTTAGACACATGGCTAAACTTTCGCAGACCACAAACGAACCTACAGCAGCTATTTTGAATTTTTTGTACTCGATATCTAGTCACGTAATCAAGACAAGGAAAGTAAACAGCAATTGAATAATTTATTAACGATAGAACCAGAGTCTCAGCCAGTTTTTTGCGAGTCTTGAAATTCAGAATATGGCGATTGGTATATAATAACTTCAAACGCATGTATGTTAAGCGAGATAAATGCGTAACATGTTGTTTAAACCTCAAATCTGAATCCATGGTGATCCCTAAATACTTCGCATGGTCTACTATAGGGATATGGGTTTCGTTAAGACTAGGAACAATTGTGCCGTCTAACCGTTGTACTAATTGTTTTAGGCCAAATAGCATAGTAGAACATTTTGAAGCATTGATCTTCAGACAATGTCTTTTGCAGTACTCTTCAATGTTAACTAGATCTAAGTTCAATTTATATGATGCTTCATGCATGTCCGGAGAATCAAAAGACAGAGTTAGCTGCGTGTCATCTGCATACGTTTGAATATTACAGTGCTGATGGCAAGTATGTAGATCAAAAGTATAAACTAAATAGAGTAATGGTCCCAACACAGAGCCTTGAGGTACGCCAGATGCCACACTCTTTGCCGAAGAAAATCCCTTACGTGTTTTCACCTTCTGGGTACGATTGCGCAAATACGAATCGAAGAAACGTAGTGGCTTGTCAGAGAGACCATAAAATTTGAGCTTACTCAAGAGAATACCATGATGTACCATGTCAAAGGCCTTAGAGAAGTCTAGCAGAATCAGAGCTGTTCCTATCTGATCATCTACATTTTTGATGATATCATCCGTAATATTTAATAAAGCGGTTGTTGTGCTATGCCCTGTACGGAAATCAGACTGATATTGAGGAATCATATTGTTTTGTTCAAAATAGTGGGCCAGCTGTATGTAGACAATTTTCTCTAAAACCTTCGACAGAAAGCACAACATGCTGATGAGCCGTAGGTGAGAATACTCAGAGGGGCTGTTTATCTTCGCCAAAGGCAAACGATACCTTAGCTTTCTAGCCAATAACCTACCAGAACTTTTGGAACAGACCTTAGACGACATGCCATTACAACGGAGACAGAATTTGTGGTTTCTTCATGACGGGGCACCACTACACATTTTTAGAGGCGTCATTCAGTATTTGAATGAACATTATAGAAATCGCTGGATCGGTCGAAATGCTCCTGATCCTCGAAAATGGCCAGCCAGATCTCCTGACCCAATCCGATGAATTTCTGGTATTGGGGAGAACTTAAAGGGATGGTTTATGAGGCTGGTCCGATGACTGCTGAAGCACAACTTCGCGAAAAAACTTTTAAAGCGGCTGAAATAATAAATGGACAACTTCCAGGACCTAGAGTAAGAAGAAACTGGGTTCGTCGTAATGAAGCTTGTGTGGAAAGTGGAGGACGATCTTTTGAACACCTTCTTTAAATACAAAAAAGTGCAGTGTGGGTTTTAAAAAGAAAAACAATGTATGTATCAAAATTGTGTTCCCTATTTATAAGTAGATTTTTTTAATACGTTTTTTACGAGTACATTATCAAATAATGAAATAATACCTAAGAGCCAAAAATAAGAAACTCCATCTTTATTTACACTGCGTTCCGTCGTAATCTGCGTCTGGCAATGCGGCGTTGTCAGATTTTATTTTAGTTTAAAGTCGCTTTTCTCAAAAAAATGCCGTTTTGACCCCCACGTTATATGAAACTTTTTGCTTCTTTTAATCCCCTCTATCACCCATTTAAATAATGACTATCATAACGTTTAAACCCTGTATCATTCCTAGAGAAGTTCTTTAAATGTGGTTTATTTGTGTATGGCATAGGTTTTATCGTTTTCTGAAAGATCCAAATTGTATGACATATGAGATTACAGAATTGAATTAGATAAATTTGATTACAGCCAAAGGTCGAAGACAGCCTCAAGGTCAACCAGCGGTCTCAGGGAACCACCGAAAATTCTACGAACGAAGTTTTTCGCCACCAAGAAGCAGCAATAGCTCAGGATATGGTACGGGAAGTAGCAGCAAATCTTTTCGAGGTCAAGAAGCTCAGCTCCAAACAAATGCAGAGGTAAACTATCATATTCTTTCAAATGTAACTGGTAGTTTTACCTAATACGGAGTTATCTTGATATCGCACAGTGTTTTTATAACTTTGTGTTATTTTCTGACGCAGGGTACCTTGACGAGCTCATCTAGCGGTCATTCGGGAGACGACAAATGGTACGATCGTCTGCAAGAGCTAGATCCACCTCCAGTACCTGTCAAGAACCAGCATGCATCTAGGAATCTACATGCGAACAATACTTTTCCGTCCACGCCAAAGCGTAACAATTCTTATCACGTCTCGCAGATACAGGCAAATCACAGGTAAAGTATATTTTAAAATACGTGAGCGGTCCGATAAGAAAACGAGAATTTTGTAAAAGTGGCGATTTATTTCTCACTATAGTCTCCTTTTGGCTCGATTCACTTGACCGAGTGATGCTCCAACTTTCTTAACCCGTCTGAAAAATTAAGTTTTCTGGAGGTATGCCTCTTCATTCGACTCAAATTTCTGCCCAGCGATTGAGTTTTTCAAGTTTGTAAACAAAAAAGTCGCCCGAGGAAAATTTGGAGAATATGGCGGACGTGGCAGCAGTTCGTAGCCTAATTCGACAGTGGCGCCATCTGGCGGTGAGGCTAAGTACTTATCGGCCGTAAAAACGTTTTTTTCAGTATTTACGAGTAAGAACTGATTGCGCATCTTGTCACCAGTGAAGTGTGAAGTTCGCTCAGTAATTTGTTTCTTAAACGCAAAAAAGTTCGTCTTCCTGAAATTCATCGGCAGTTTGTTATTATTGAAATTTGGGCGCGCTCTTCAAAACCTGAGGCCTGCTCTCTAGCTGCGTGATTTTGCTTCACGACAACGCTCGACCTCACGTTGGGGTAAGAACACAGACACAACTGGACAGGTTTCGTTGAGAATCACTGGGTCGTCGATGAAGTTTCTCTATGACTATTTCCCTCGTCTTAATTTCTAAAAATCACAAACGCGCGATTTTGAATTACAAATGGTTTCTAGATGGAAAAATTGTATGACAGCACCTGTCAGCAGTTTACCTGTCGCAAAACTTGACAGCTGTTGTCACCAAAATTTACAATACCTTTGATAACAAGTAATTATGGTCTCCTAGGACACCAGATAATGTTTCTCATGACCATTCGGGCATCTAATTTTTTCCTACGAAAAAACACAATACAAAGTAATATTTTTTTAACAAGAAGCATGAGTGTTGGTGACATCAAAAATCCCAGTCGAAGACGAATATTTTTGCACCCACACGAATATTACTTAGCAACGTGTTTTTTCGATTTTTTTCGGAAAAATTATATGCCCTTATAACTGTTCTCCCATTGTTGATGGATTTTCCCTTCCATCTCTACAGAGATTATTAACGGTCACTTGAGAATAATGAGAAAATCTACATGTTTTTATTGAAACTTATAAAGATTGTTTTTCAGTCACTATGGTGTTGGTCATGGCAAGATCCACGTAAGCAACTCGCTGCCTCTACAACACGTCAATGTATCGCAACCTCTAGTCGCCGCTATACACAACAATATGAATGATCTGGATTTAGGCTACAAATTAGAAAAAAATAATATTTTAAAACAACACAATGAAAGGTAAGTCAATGCAGAATCAGAATATAACTTCTTGCAGGTTTGTCTAGCAGACAGCCTGCATTTATCAAAATTCTTTTTTGGAATTGTTTGGGTCTAAGGGACATTCCCAAAAAACGGGAATTTCATCAAGCTCTTGTGGACCAAAGTATAGATGTATAGAACTGATAGATTAACTGGACAGGGTGGTGGCTTGACAGTGCTAGTGAAACGCGGTATTGACTACCACAGAAGCACAAACGAGATGCAGAGCATCGAAGCGGCTTCCGTGGGAGGTGTGTCGTTAAAAATCACATCGGTGTATGTCAGGTGTGGTATCTGGAAGTCCTTGTAGACTGCTCGGGTCCATTTATTGTGGCAGGCGACTTCAACTGCAAACATCGAGCATGGCATTCTAGGATGAATTCCACCAGTGGGATCTGACTGTACAACCATCTGATACGAAATGGCTACCTCATACATAGTACTGAGGAGCCGACGCACCACCAATTTAATCACCGTCAGGCACCTGATGTTCTTGATTTTTCAATATCCAAAAACTGTAACAGTATCACTTCTCGAATCGTGTATGACATCTCAAGCGATCGAGAACGGCTCAAGCGGAGTGGACAAGTTTTGTTCAGCAAGCTCTGCAGCGTGCAGCTGTACTTCCCGTGCACCGATACGGCAGACCTTTTCTGCCAGCAGACATTCGTCAGAAAATTTCTGATAAAAGGGCTGGAATTAAGCAAGCGAAAAGATCTTGTCATCCTGATGACATTCGCAAAGCGACGAATCTTGTTCATGAAGTAAGAAATGCTCTTCATGAATTCCGCAATGAGCAATAGAACGACTTTCTGGCGGGGATGCTTGACTCAAGCATTCCTCTCTGGAAGATGGCGAAGTCGCTCAAAAACGGAAAGCGTGAACAAATCCCACACATCCACGGTCCTGGAGGCATTGTCTTCAGGACAGAGGAAAAGGTTGAGGTTTTCGCCGATGCCATGAAAAGACAGTTCTCTCCCAACTATGATCTTGATAATGACCTCGACATCGTAAGATCTGTCAGGAGATATTTTAGGGCCAACAGCGTAAGTGATAGTCGCGCTACCGATGGTGATTTTTCTTCATCAGAAGCTTCTTCAACCGAAGATATGTTTAGCACATCAGCAGAATCTCCCGAGATCCCGTATTGCACACCAGCAGAGATTCAAGGTCATATTAAAGACCTTAAAGTGCGTAAAGCACCTGAAAAAGTGATTCTACGTCACCTTGAGAATTTCTCGTCAGATCACCATGTGATTCCTGACGTGCAAGTCGGTTTTCGGTCTGAACATAGTACCGAGCTACAGGCGGTTAGGCTGGTGAAACGAGTAACCTCAGGATTCACCCTTAACGAAAGTACTGGCATCTTGCTTTTGGATGTCTCAAAAGCATTTGACAAGGTGTGGCACAAGGGCCTCCTGTATAAGCTAATCCAAAAGGGCTTCTCTTTTTGGCTTCTAAAACTACTGAAATCCTTCCTTGAATGTAGGAAATTTCGGATCATAATTGCCAATGTCCTGTCGACAACATGGCTGATTACAGCCGCCGTCCCTCAGGGTTCGGTCCTTGGACCTATCCTTTACTCACTGTACATCCATGACGTCAATAGCCCCAGCAACTGTGAAGTCTATCTCTGTGATGACGATACTGCATTGATGGCTCAGTTCCCAAGCACAAGTTGAGTTCCTGCCTGAAGATGTATTAATGCACCTGCGAAATCTGAAGACCTCTTCCTCCCCTCTTAAAGATGGGATGACTGCTGCTGTACTTAAAAACTGCGCTTCAGCACTGGCCCTACCATTAAGCTTGATATTCACATCGTCTTTTAGATCTCATACCCTACCCTCATGCTGGCTTAGTGCTTCTGTTACCCCTGTATTCAAAAAGGGCGACAAATCCTCCGCTAAAAATTATCGACCAATAAGTCTCGTTCCTATCGCCGCCAAAATAGCTGAAAGAATCATATTAGATAAGCTCCTGTCATCTGCTTTCGAAAATGACCTTATCCCTAAGAATCAGCATGGATTTCTCCCTGGTCGATCAATAATGACCAACCTTCTCCACTCTCTCAACGATTGGACTCATTATCTGGACACAAAGACTCCTGTTGATATAATCTACTTAGATTTTTCTAGGGCTTTCGATCGCGTACCACATAGAAGGCTTCTGTTTAAGTTGGAATGTATGGGAATAAGAGGCGAGTTGTTACTGTGGATTAAGGCTTTTCTCACCGGGAGGACTTTCTCTGTGCGCGTCAGAGATAGCCAGTCTCACCTTCATCATGTAGCAAGTGGAGTTCCTCAAGGCTCTGTCTTGGGGCCAGTGCTGTTCCTTCTGTATACAAGTGACCTGTCCGCATTGATTTCCTCCACATGTTCAGCTTATGCCGACGACACCAAGATTTACAATACTGTCGTAAATTCTGCTATGCTTCAACGAGATCTTGATATTGTTTGTCAATGGTCAGTCAGTTGGCTTTTACCCTTAAATCTAACTAAGTGTTGTGTCCTTCACCTCGGGAAGACAAATCCGCGATTTACATACAAGATCTCTGACCACAACATCGAAGCAGTTTCCAGCCACACTGATCTGGGCGTTGTAGTCAACGATCGTCTTTCCTGGTCAGAGCATATTCACCACGTTACATCAAAAGCCAAGAAACTTCTATACATGCTGGAGAGGTCTTTCAAAGGATCCGATGTCAACACTTGCGCGTACATTTACAAGGCATTCGTGAGGCCAATTCTTGAATTCGCTGGCCCGGTATGGGACACTAGGCTTCTGCGCGATAGAAATCTCGTCGAATCAGTACAGCGTCGGGCTACTCGTATCCCTTTTAGAGCACGAAGACCAAGCTATGAAGATCGCCTTGAATTATTCAACCTGACCTCATTCTCTGAGCGAAGACTTCGTGGCGATATTATAGTTACGTTCAGGATACTTCATGGTTTGATGGGCACCAACCTCATGCATCTATACCGTCTGTCGCGCAGCAATCTACGCGGACACAGCTTCAAAATGCATAAGGAGCCATTTAAAACAACAGTCCGACAGTGGTTTCTTCCCAACCGCATATTCCACACCTGGAATAGTTTACCTGAAAGTGTGGTTGGTCCTACTTCAGTTAATAGCTTCAAAGTGCAGTATGATAGCTGGAGGAGTGTACAAACTTTATAGCTATGAACTGTCTTTTTTTATTTTTTTCTATTTGATGTATTTGTGTTATGTGTCCGTACACTATATTTACTGCATGAGCTTATAGTACTGTGTACTCTGCTCATCTCAATTATCATAATAATAATAATAATAATAAAAGGCCGCGGCTCTCACTGTAATCAAAATTAATTCGTGAACTCAGAACAACCAAAATTGAAGCATTTTGACAAAATCTTTAGAAAAAATCGAATATTATTAGACCATATCAAAATCTTCCCCTTTGCTCTCGTTCCTCCTTCTCTCCTTTCCTTCCCTTTTTTCCTTAAAATTGTCTGGTTTCTGGCTTACCAGACCTGACAGACTTACAAACTGACACTGTGACTGAAGAGCTAAGGTCCCACGGACCGCTCTGACAACCAACGATGACTTGTTTGTCTAGATTTGTGTCAATGAAAGTACAGCAAGATGTTGCACCATTTATTACTGTACATGATGATTCAAAAAATATTTCTCGGAAATAAAGGCTTTAAAAATGACATAGAAGGTTTATATGAACATAGGTTCTAAAATATCCAATTTTAAACGTCACACTTCACCAACTCTACTAAAATTTCGAAGGTAAAACTAAAAAAAAAAAAAAAAAAACGTATGTCTGTGAACTTATACAAACACTTCCACTCATAGAGGCAGATGCACAAGTATGTGTGAGAGAGATGTATGTATGACAATAATTTCTGTAGTTTTACTGTGATAGCCAACAATCGAGAAAACGCCAATAGAACGTAACTGATCAACGTGGTTTGGCTGTTTTCTTTCCAGCTCATTTTTAAAGGGATTTTTTTCATTTTTAGACTTCGGCAAGACGCCGAATACACCTCCCCAACCCGCTCCTACAACACCATCACCACCGACTTGTCCCGTTTCACGTTGAACGACGGCCTCTCCAGCGACAGTTCCTTGGGCGACCGGCTCAATCTAGTAGGCGTCGGCAGCGAGGACGAGCCAATCAGTGCAGGGGGCGTGGCAAACGGGGGCGGACCTGCATCGCCGAGAGCGGCACGCAGGCCGGCGAAACAGTTGAATGCTTCGCCGCAGGCGCCCGCCTACTATGCCAGGAATCAGGGGAGTCCGAGGTCGATGAATGGTGGAACGGTGATGGGGGAGGCGAAGTTGAGGCCCGGCGTGACTGCGCGGTCGTCCAATAGGAACAGCGCGAATTTGTCGACGAATTTTCAGGAGGAGTTAATGAGGTAAGATTTGAATCAAAGTTTTATTGGTACTAAGGGTCGGTGTCAGGACAATTCTAACTGGTGAATTTAAGTAATGAGATAGTGACGTGTATCTTTATGACTTTTTTTAGAATGGAAAGGGCGGTGTCGACGTTTGGTTTAATAAAATTAGGGGGCATTTGGAAAATCAAAGTGCAGACGATATTATTGGTCTAAAAATATTACCGATTTTTAATCAGTCCTAAGGACCTAGATAAACAAGCGCTTTTTCCTTGATTTGCAGGTTAATCAACCCGGATAATATAGAACCAGAACAACAGAGGTGCGTGAAAGAAATAAAAACTCATTCCAGGGAAAACCTAAACAACGCATTAAGCTTACACAAAACGCAATCGGACATGTTGTTAGGTGTATCAAGGTCTACCAGCAATTCGGCGAGTCCCCTGCATAATGATTTCAAGCGATCTCAGGATGATGTGACGTCGCATATGTCACCAAATAAGGTAAGTGCTTTCTTTCCATCATAAGCTAATCCAATTGAAAACCTTGCGAAAATAAGTAGAAAGTGTCAACGACATTGTAAAATCAATTATTGACGGGGATCCCAACCAATGTCCTATTAGCTCAGATTATAATGCATCATTCAGTGAGTTTAGAACAGTAAACATTAAATTAAATCAAATCAAAATAAGATTGAGATTTTGTCTAAAAGTGTGCTTAATGAATGTTTTGATATTATTGGAGCAAGAATATTAATCCTGATAAATTGCTGTTTAAAATATGGCGAGTTTCCAACAATACTGAACTGTTCTACCATAACTCCTGATTCTAAAGTTAAGAATTCTGAGTTGTACATCAATATGCGGCCAATAGAGGTTCTGCCAGATGTTGAAAAAGTTTTTGAAGAAATTATTTACGAACAGATCATCGAATTTATTGAGGGAAATAACATTTCAACCAAATTTCAAGCTGGATTCAGAAAGAAACACTCAACTGAAACTGCAACACAAATGGTTTTAGAGGACTGGGGAGATGTATGGACAATCGGAAACATACAGTAACAGTGTTTTTGGACAAAAGGGCGTTTGAGACTATTAAAAGGGATAAATTACTTACAAAATTGCATCACTACGGATTTAAAGGTTCTGTATTCAAAATTCTACAAAACTATTTAATTGACAGAAGGCAAAAACCCAAAATTGGATCTACATTATCAAGATAAAAAAATATTTCTGTTGGTATACCACAAGGTAGTAAACTAGCTCCACTACTATTTATTTTATACATTAATGACATTTGTAATATTTTAGATTATTGTAAACTTCAGATATTTGCAGATGATACATTAATATACATATCAGATGAAAATATAGACACTGCTTTAAAAATGCTAAATTCTGACTTCGCAAAAATCGTAAATTGGTTAAATGTAAATAAACTAAAATTGAATACTTATAAAACAAAATGTATGCTAATAGGGAAATACCTAAATAATGAATCAATTAAATATTTAGGTATATATATTGATAGTAAACTAAAGTTTGAGGATCACTATTATTTCAGAAATTGTCAAAAAAACAAATTACTTTCATAGGGCTTCTCATAGTCTTACGTTAAGTCGCTTGTTTATGGCAACGACCCAATAACAATTCACCACCTCATTCAAACCATTGGTGAGATGCAGCCCGACTTATGCAGCAGAGTTTTACAAAATTGGACCTCTCGGATTGAGTCCTGTAAACGAAGCCGTGGAGGACATTTGAATGATGTAATTTTTACAACGTAATGGTATTGAATGTACTTTGATACGCAATTAAAGTTTCCATCATATGTCCCACACAACGCGTTTTATTCAATTTTAAATTTCAGACACACTTAATGCTCAGGTTTGCTACCTCTCGGATGGTTGTCTATGTTATGGGATTTGTTTTTCGGTGTTGAAAAAAGTATGAAGTCTGAGTAATAATAGGGAATATGAATTTTTTGTATTGTTCGTCGATTCGATTATTCACGTTAACATAATACCGTGAACGCATATTTAATTCCCGGAAATGTCTATATTCAATTAAATATCTAAAACTGCAATGCCAATAAGTTAATTAAAGGCCGCTTTTTGATGCGATTCGCAGTGACGCCACCATCCCTGTCATGTCATAATATGTTTTTTGTTGGTTTGGTTACTGACCAGTTTTTGACATACCGATCTGTTTGTAGGTTAAGTTGGGAATAACTTTCCCAGAAGACTTCCCTCTACCAGAGGACAGTGACTGGCCAAGTCTTGTTGATACGGCTACAAGTTTCATGAATCAAGTGGAATCAACTGTGGAGCGCACTGCTGAAAACGATACCAGGCGGTGGAATGAAGAACCACCTATTGACGCGTCTATTACATCCTCGTAAGTATTCCAAATTATACAGGATAGGGTGGCTCCAAAAACAGAAGTTTATACAGAAAGCTACAGATGCTCATTGTTATTAAAGATCGTAATCAGGCTGACACTTTTTACTTCTCGCGCCTACTGAGATATTATGTTTTTTGGATATTATATGAAAAACTTGTAGGTGTGGGTTGTAAGAGGGTGGGGAGGGTTTTTACTCATTTTTTTGATGCTAGTACGCTCCCAGCATTGGTAATTCTACGCACCTAATAGACATATTACACACATCATAGATATCTCTGTACAGGGTGGCCAACTAAGAATGAATATCTGGGATCCTATCCGTTGTAGAAGCTTGTGGTAAAAAGTTCTTACTAAAATGCCCAAGAGAAAAACCTTGAAAATATTTTCCAGTTTCTGAAATGACCGCTCGCGGGCGTAACTGCAATCTTGAATCTGTGAATTCTGTTATATTAACCTAACAATTTTTGCTGTATCTCTAAAAATAAAGTGGTGGGGTATTCAAAGGTTTCCGTAAAAAACACCCTGTAACTTCGAAATGGCTGAACCAATTTTAACAAACTTGGGCTAGTTGAAAAGAGCTATTCTTGGCCTACAAATGTTATATTATTTAAAGTTTTGTTAGTTTCAGTGCCCGCTAGAAGGCTTTTTTCGATATTCCGACAGAAACGGTTAATTTTCTCAAAGAAATTAAATGTATTGGTATTATTTTTTTTATGAAATAGTAGTTAAACGATGTCTAAACAAGCTCGCGAAAACCGCATCTCGATATCTTGTTCCTAACCCAAAAGTAAATTTTATACATAAAGGCCCTTACATTTTAACTTTTTCAAACTATTTTTTTCTGTAATTTCTTTTTATTATTAAGTTGCGGTCATAAAAAAGGACCGATTTAAAAATGAAAGGTTTTTAATGCTCACGCTCTATGCATTCCCGAAGCCTCTTCAAGGACAGACAAAACTGCAGCTTCAATTTCAGCAATTACGTATTGCATTACGAATCCGACTTTTCATATCCATTCTATGGGCCTTTTGACTGACTTGTTTTCAAAGGGTCTAATTTGTGCTGCTTTATAATAAGTGCGTTGAGTGGGAAGTGCAGAACAGACACTTCTCAAGCAGAATCAATATTCCTTTCAGAAAACATTGATTTTTGCATAAACCAGTGGCTAAACATAAAAGAAAGAGACGACTATTTATTGTATGACGTCTCTTTTTTTGCGTTAAATTGTTCTAGGCTTCGATCTATCATTTTCATGTTTTTTTCTATTCCCAGATTCTTCGTTTTGTTGTATTCGTAATAAAAATGTCATTCCAGAGTTGGATCGAGCACAAGTGTGCCCGAGCTGCAAAACCACGTGGCAGAGTTGGAGTCCAAAGTAGATCGAGAGACCAGACGGCGTTTGTCTCTGGAAAACGAAGTACGACGATTGACTGAAGAAAACAGAAAACTTCAAGATCAAGCACATGCTGCAGCCACCCAACTCAGGAAGTTTACCGAGTGGTTCTTCAGAAACGTCAAAAGGCAGTGAGAACGAAAATTGTTACATGAATTTGAGAGGTTTCTATACAAAATGAAATTTCCTTGAATTATTCTTTGAGTATCTCCCTTCATTGTTTTAATATAATGTTGCAGAGAATACAAATTGGCTATCTGCATTGTTTATTTCCTCGAGGAATTTTCCTTGTTCAAAAGATGTATCGAAATATCTTTTCAAGATTTTGAATCAAATATTTATTACATCCCCAAAATGGCATCATTTTGTTGAACAAGTAAAAAATACATTTTTTGATTCATAAAAATATTTAGAAATGAAATCTGTGTAATGTGGCACCTACATAAGAAATATCACAAAATCATGAATAACTTACATTACAAATGTATTTATCATTCTCAATACTGAGTCATTTATAAACTTATGTTGAAGTCCGCGTTATTGTCTGTTTTCCACACAGTTCTTCCTTAAAAACTACTTTAAAATAATATGCGTGCTTCCAAAGTGTATGTGTATACATCATGTATATAAAGGGTTTTCCATTAAGGTATTGACAATTTTATTTTTAAATAAAACGCAAACTATTAGAGTTATCTCGAAGATTTTATTATTGCATTGAAGTATACTCAAAACATTTATGTATTGGATTCGACCTCGTTCATATGTCCACCACGGACACGTTCGCAGCGATCGATTGTAGAACCACAATAAAAAGTCTAGAGGTGTTAAATCACACGATCTAGGCGGCCATTCGACAGGGCCATTTCTCGATATAACACGTTCAGCGAATTTTGATTTCAATATGTGGCTTGTTTCAGCCCCAAACCATGTCACTCATTTGAGGAGCAGACTTGCAAATTGCATTTTGTCCATTTTTACCAATTTTCAGGAGAAGCAAAAAACCAGTACAGAAAAGCTAACCATGACAGAAAATTTTGTTCTGGATAATATAATGCTATCAGGTGTATCGACCTCAATCACAAGTTTTGGTACAAGAAAGTCGAAAAACAAGTTGAAAAAATTGAAAAAATTGTTGGACAGAATGCAGTTTGATTGTCTCTAGTGGACAAAATGCAATTTAAATGTCATTGTCAAGTTAACAATAATAAAAAATTTGGTTTTATTTAAAAAAAGGTGTATATTGAAACAACAAAACAAAATTTGTAAGTATTACAATAATATTAGGAGTAAACAATTTTATTTTTAAAGGAATTCATTATCATCATTCTCAGCGCATCCACAAGCTTCTTCGTCATTTTCGTGCTCTTCATCGTCATCATTACAGTTTGCCACAGTTTTCTCAAATATTTCAGCCATCCATTTCAGCTGCGGGTCTGTTTCATACCATTTGTCACCAGACAATGAAACAAGTAGGTTTTTTAGACTATCAAGCTTTTTCTGCTTTACTTCATGTCCAAGTCGTACTTTAGGAAGTTCAATTTGATCCAACCGCTTTTTAGGTTTCAACAAAGTTTGGAATTTTTTCGCTGGATCATCCGTTCGATACAGCAATTCAGATTTCACCACAACGCCTGAGGGCTTTCCCCGTTTGATGATTATTCTTTTACTTGAACTAATTCCTAGGACTTTTTTCAAACAGATGGAAGCTTCTTTTATATTCACCAATGACCAATCAGTTCCAAGTTTTCTGATTTCACCTACTTGTTTGTAGAGTTCCCAATATTTTTCAGGTGTTTTTATGACCGCGTGTCGTCTTAAAATCTTTTCCACCCTCCCAAAAATTCTATCTGCCGGAAGATAAGAGTGTCCTCGCACTGGGAAGATAACTTCTATTTTTTTAATTGTTTCTGGAGCAAAGCGGTGTAACCATAACATTAGCATGTGGATGGTAAAGCTATTTTTATTTTGCCCCCCGCATCCATCGGAGAAGAGCCGAAGAGTGTCTATATTCGGGGAAAAATTGGTCTTTTTCAAAAAATCAAGCAGGGCGGAAGATATTTCTGTCGCTCCCCTGCCAGCTTGGTGTTCCATCCATGAATAAAAAACAGGGTTTTTACAGTTTGTGGCTGTAACGCAAAAAAAAGTAAAATGACAGCTGCTGTGCATAAAAAGCATCTTGTATGGGAACTTTTGGGAGAACCTGCACTTGTTGCAAGTCAAAACAAAAAGACACTGAGTTAGGAGATGCTTCTTTCATCATTTTATGGAACTGAGATGCTCTAACCTTGTGAACTTTTAACTGGGTCTCAAGTTGGCCTTTATCGATAATATTCCTCGCATTACCGATTTGCGTTGCTGTTTTAACACAAAAATTACATACATCTGTAGCCGGGCTACCAAAGCCTATGTTGAAGTGATTACTGAAGACCCTGCTAAAGTATTTATAATTTACTTTTTTTTCATTAGTCACTTTTTCATTATAGAAGTTGCAAAGTTTAGCAATGGTGTATTCGGCAGACAAGTAGATTCTTCTTGATTTAGAACGGCTGTAGTGACTTTCTTTCCCTTTCAGGTTGCTTATAAACTTTTTCACCTCATTTAATTTGTTGATAAATTTGTGAGATTTTCTATCGCCTCCTCTTTTTTCAGTAAGACTTGATCCCATTTTTATTTTCTGACATATTGTGTTTATTCGCCTTTGAGACACGCTGAACATAGCTCTAAATAGTTTCTGGCAAATTTGTTTTTTATCACCTTCAAAAAATATCTGAAAAAAAACGAGAGTAAGTCACAGTTTAAAATACATTTCAGATGGTTATACTTACGAAATAATTTACGGAAAAATTATGGGACTTTCCATTTTCTTTGCGACTTCGTTTTCGTTTTGGCTCCTTAATCTCCATGTAGCTTGCAAGCAAGTTGTCCTGCGTAATTTTGTTAGGACTCTCGAAAAAGGTTTGGCGGATTTTCAGCATAGCTCCTTTCGATAATTCTTCGCAATCAAGATTAGAATTTTTATGATTACAAACTACGTTGAAATTGTCTAGATTGATGTCCAAATTGGAATACCTTAAAAGTGAAACGGAAAATAATAAAATATTTTAGGCTTATAACCTAACAAATACCTTATTTGTTTTTTTCTCTCACGGCTTGTTGTATTCCTTTTTCTTTTCCTACTACCCCTATCCACACTATCACCAACAATATGCTCCCCTTCTAACTGTTCCATTTTGATCCAAAAGCAACACTACTTCAATGTTTTAACAATTAAAACTTGAAAAAGTCTCCAAGGTAACACCGAACTATAACAACAGATTCTGATAAAATAAACAAAAACCCCATCAAAATGCATTTTGTCAACGTTTATGGACAAAATGCACTTTGAAAGTACCATGTGAGTGGACTTAAATCAGTTTGTTTGTCTAGGTATAATTTTCCCCTCAATAACACGGGGACTAAATACATTTTGACTGTTCAAATGTTTAAAAAAAGATAGTATTTCATCATAGGAATGCAGCGCCACCTGTATCTCAAATATGGAAAATTTGGACAAAATGCATTTTGCAAGTCTGCTCCTCATTTAGGCTTTAGTTCTTGAGTTAAGTTGATCTTAAAAGGGTGCAGGCCAAGATCTCTCCGCAAAATTCGCCCAACCCGTTGTCTCAACATCCAGCAGCGAATATCTGGACTCACATTTTTTTACTAGACTATGAATTGTTTGTCTACTGGGACGAGAATTGCGACCGAAAATTGGCGTTAACGCTCTTAAGGTTGCAGTCACCGACTCGGAATTTCGGTATTAATTTTCAATTATTTGTAAGCGTTGTTCGTTCGTGTTTTTCACCATGATGAAAATGTTTGCTTTACTGAATGTTTTGACACTGACAGTTCGGTAATTGATTTAAAGGTGCGTTCACAGTTGACTCAAGTCCCTATTGGAAAACCCGATACTATCGATATGTCTAGTTAATCACATAAATCCTTATCAAGGTTTATTGAAAGCTTTACAACAGTAATAGGTTATTTAGTGTATAAAATGAACGTAAGATTTCTATTTCTTTCTATTTTGTTGTTGTAGATATGTAGTTTTCCCCCAAAGAGTTGACAGTATTCTCAAAGCTCGGAAATTCAGCATTTAGGACTTTGGAATCAGCAGTTTTTGACTTTTTTCTTCAATGTAGCATTCCAAATTATACAGGGTGTTGATAATAGAGTACTTGACTAAACTTCAGGGTGGCCCTTAAAACAGAAGTTTACACAGGGAGCTACAGAATGTTTCCGGGAGAATTGAAATTTGAGAAAAATGTAGTTCAAAAAACTAAAAAAGCACGCTTTAGTACCAAATCGGACTAAAAAGTAGAAAATAATTTTCAAGTATACCACGTTATACTTTTGCCTAAAAGATAGATTTCCGACTTTTTTTTGAGTATACTGTCAGTGTCTTGCAAATATTGTTTTATTGAAGTACAAAATTCATTAATTTATTCACGTTTTGTTGCATAAGGTATTATGAAACAATCTCTTAGCATGTTGTCAACTGTCAATTATAAACAGAGCTTATGATTATGTGCTCCTATTCCAACTTGGTGAGAATTTTTGCTCATTTTACGCCATGTACTGCCAAATTTTATACAAATTTTACAACGACACATAGGATTCACTTTTTTAATCTTTGTTTTTGCAAGCTCTTTTAAGAGTTGATGCAAATGACACTTTTTTGAATTCAATTTAAATGTCCATTTCGGTGTAAAAATGATGTATCAACAATCTAAAATGGTTATGAATATTCAGATATCACTTATAGTGCCTTTTTCGTTTTGCTAGAATAAGTCACTTTTATAGTCGATTATTACAAATAGCTATTGCAATTTGGAGACTGTTTACATGCCAAACGTAGGAGTTTTTACGTCACTCAAAACAAAGAGATATCTACATCTTTCTCAGTTTATTACAAATAAATGCTAGGAATTGTTGACGGTCATACGTTAAGTATTGTTTTTATCTTAGAACTAGTTACCAATATGAAAAGAGCATTATGCGAAACATGAAACATGCTTCTCAATCTTACACACTTTGTAGGACATTCTAAAAGTCAACGCAGTGTATCATAATATAATTTATTCATCCAGTTTTTTATTTTCAATTTCAAGTCTACTGTTGGCACCAATAATGTTTGTGTTGATAGTACGTTTAGATTGTCCTATTTTTTCAACTACAGAATTATTCAGCAACTTTCCTACTAGCCTAGGTAATATCTTCGTGTAAAAAATATGCTTATTCTGATTTTTTGCGTAATCTTATTTGAAAAGGTCACCTTTGTACGAAACTGTATGCTGCCGGCTCCAAAATTGCGTACAAAATTGTTTAAACATTATTTGGAGCAAAATAAAAAGATGCTTTTTTCGCTTCCAGATTTTTAGATATTCTCAACAAACATGTGTGAAATTTTCTTCAAAGTTAATAGTTTTCGAGATATGAGCAATTTAATATTTCAAAAAATACAAAATGTGTCATTTTTGACCCCGAAAAAGAATATGAAAAGATGGAAAATTAATGTTGCTGATGTCCTAAGTATTCTTCAAACATCCATTAAGAAGATTCCAAAGCATTTTAGGGGTATTGTTTTTGAAAACATTTGTTTTTTTTTTGTTTATATTAGTGACAATATCTCCTGATTTGCTAATATATATATACATAATATATATGAAGAATGTTTAGGTACTTTGGCAAAATTAAAATCTTTTTTACAAAAACAACACCCCTAAAATGCTTTCCCTTAATGGATGTTTGAAAAACACTTGAGACATCACCAACATTAATGTTCTGGTTTTTCATATTCTTTTTCGGGGTCTAAAATGGCATATTAGGCAATTTTTGAAATATTGAATTGCTTATATCTCGAAAACTATCAACATTTAAGCAAAGATCTAAAGTACTTCTTTTGTCCTGAATAGCATGAAAACACTTGATTGAAAAATAAAACAATTTTTGGAATTTTTCAAAAAAAAATGTTCAAACGATATTTGGCGCAATTTTGGTCCTGAATTAATAGAGGTCTTTTTGAATAAGTTTATGCAACAAATTCGTATCAGAATATTTTGCGAGCTTATCACCTGGGCTATACAGAGAGTCTTATTTCTTTGCAACTTAGGCCAGTTGGCAGCTAAAAATTTATGGTATTTAACCCCTTTGTATATGCAAAATTTTACATAAACCAGAAACCTATTATAATCGCTAATACTCTGCTGGCCAAAGCACTTATATATTGCACGTCTTATTACACTTGGGGGCGTAGTAAAAAGATTACGGCATTTGAAAGCCCCCAGACATCAATTTTTGTATATATTGAACATAGACACGGGATGCTTTAATGGGACCTTATTTTTTATTTATTTCATTTATCATTTCAATTTTTTATGTATCCAGAGTCTCTGGTATCCCCCTCAATTTTTTTGTTTCATTTTATTGTACAACTACCAAAGATGTTTAGTTGTTTAGTAATAAAACTAACGCGTTAAAGTATTCTGTGTGGACATTTACACATTGGTCACACCTTTTAATATATTGTTTTTTTTTTCATTTTTCTTTGTAACAGAATATTATGTTATGTTAGATGTAGGAGTGAATCACACCAAATGTTTTAATGTTACAATTATTTAGTTTTAGGTGTATTTAAAACATTTCTTTAGTTATTACGAATTGTATTTTAGCATTCCTCAGCGTCTCTGATCATTTTTTCTGTTAATGTTATTTTCTATATCTGTGACCTGTTAGATGCCTTAGAGAATGGTTCTATTTTAACGACATATGAAAGTTACGCAAATTTTTATAAAAATATATACTCATTGTAAGAAGGAGTTTCATTTCCACCAGTTTTTCCCTCCACACCAACGCACAGTGGTCAAACAATACAATTTCTAAGGCATTTATACGATTTTCAGTACGACAGGGTTTTTTGGGCCGCTTTCAAATTTGGGATTAGTTTGTCTCTATTAGGGCATTTTAAGGTCATCAAGGAAAGACGCTGAACAGTGGAGTCCATTGCATTTAGGATTTTCTGGTTAATCAGTCCGAATCAGAGGACAATTAGTGTCACTAAGAGGACTCATGACAGTATACGACTATAAGAGCTGTATCCCTCAATAGTTTAGCAAATTTAGCCAAAGCTAACACTAGATTTTATCCGACAGTTTAAAAGAAAAACTTTTAATAATACTAATATAAAGAAGTCAAGCTAAAAATAGCAATCAGTTCAACTATCGGTGTATAAAAAACAATTACATCTTTCTAGTTCATCATCTATATCCAGATGTTTGAATATGTTCCACGCACAACACAACCGCTGAGATACAGACACTCTATTTTTACCGCTAAAAAGTAGTGACGAATGATACACCAAAAACTTCAAGTTCAATAGTATCTCATGGTAAAGACAGAGTAAGCAGAGTTCTGATTCCACGTCCAACTTATTGTTTATGGTATTGAGTTTAAAATAGATAGTAATTTCCTTCATTTCCGATACCCCATTTTGTTAGGTTTTCCAAAAAATAGACCACTGTGCAACTGAGAACATGCTACCAGTTCACATACCATTTAGCGGGACCACCCTGTATATTTGTCATTTCAAAAATTATATTTTCGCCTCCCGTTGTTAAAAGCAAACGAAACTAAATTCACTGGGATATTTTGGGACGTTGATCCCTAATATGGCCATCAAAAATACACTAATGGAAAAAGAATAGGGAATCAAAAATCATAAATTCTCAGCAAAAAAAAAATGGTTATATTGAGGGTATAGAAACGCAGTTTAAGACTTTAAATGTATAGTTTTTGGATCTTTTAGCAAAACAATTTTGAAGCTGCGGGTTCTATGCAGTCCTAGAAAATGGTGTGAAGAAAAAAATTACATTTTTTTTATATTTTTATTTCGGTCCATGGACTTGAAAAAATGTTTTCCCGCTAAACTTACATGGTCTCGATAGGCTATTAATTCAGCTTCTATTTTCTTTTTTCAAAACCTCAATATGATCATTTTTGCTGAAATATCGAATGTTTAATGAAAAAGTGCCCTTTTGGCTTTGATCATCGACATATAAGGTACCAATCATCGTACGTTAAATCTGAGGTCGGTTTGAGGAGTTGGAATCAACCCTCTGAAAGGATGAACGATTTCTTAAGGAAAAAAGTTCATCCTTCATAGAGACTGGAAAAGAAACAGGAACAAAATGGTTAATTGTATTTTTTTCGAAAACCAAGTGCTAAATTTCAAATATTGGTTCAAATGGTCAATGTTGAGCGTAACTTTTACTGCCCCATATACACATAACACTGTAAAATTTCAATTCCACCTACCTTTTTTTTTTTTGAAAAAATTTATTTAAACACAATAATACAAAAAGTATAACCAGTTTTAACAATAATTCCCTAATCAGTGTTTGCAAACACTGGCCCCGAGAATAACAAGACAATAATCAATATCTATGAACTACAGGTACACTGCAACATTGCTCATAATTTCAACAAATAAATTCATTAACATTTTTACAATCTTTCAATTCTCTAACAAAACTTCTATAGTTATTTGAATCTTTTATACAATGTGGTAAATTATTAAATTTCTTAATTGCGTCTGTGATCGGATTTTTTAAACCTATGTTAGTTCTTGTGGAAATTTGATAAACATTATTTAGTGATCTTGTTTGGTGATCATGCACGTTATGGTAGAACCTAATATTTATGTTACTTTTTAGTAGATTATTTATAATTTTATAAACAAGTTTACATTGTTCCACCTCCAATAACACTCTTAATTTGTTTAAATTTAAATTTGAATAAAGTGTATTAGAACTTGTAAGCCAATCAAAATTAAACAATATTTTCAGAACTTTATTTTGTAAAACTTGAGCTTTATTAAAATTAACTTCACCGCACATACCCCATACTGGCAAGAGGTACCTAAAATGTGTAAGATAGAAGGCATTATAAATTTGAAATTTGCTTTTGTTGGACAAATAATCTCGACTCTTATATAAGGCAGATAGCATTGAAACTATTTTATCACAAATTCCATTTACGTGAAGTGACCAATTTAAACTTTCATCTATTAGTAATCCCAAATATTTAATACTTGACACTTTTTCTAGCGCTATATTATTTATGTTAATATTTAGATTATTGCTAACTATCTTATTTTTTTGTTTAAATATAATGTATTTTGTTTTTCAATGTTAATTTTTAATCTATTCGAAAACAGCCATTTAAGATAACTATTCAGGTCATCATTAATAAGATTCGTTAAAGCAATTTCGTCTGTTCCAGTATATACCAGTACAGTGTCATCTGCAAAGGTAAAATATCTTCCTCTCAGATTGGCCAACTTGAGAGTCAGTACATAAAGACTGTATAACAGAGGTCCAAGAACTGACCCCTGTGGTACTCCATAGGTGCTAGATAACCATTCACTATCAATGTCTCCAAGCTTTATGTACTCTTTTCTGTCATATAAATAAGACTTAATCAAGCTGTACGAAACACCTCTAAATCCCATTTTAAACAATTTATCTAAAAGAATGTCTACGCTTACTACGTCAAAACCTTTTTTTAGGTCAATGAAAACAGCTACAACTATTTGTTGTTTATCTAGAGCCATTGAAATGTAGTCCACAAAATCAACAACCGCACTAAGTGTGCTACTGTTCGTTATAAAACCATATTGAAATTCACCAATCAATATATTGTGAGTAACAATGAAAGATAACATTCTTTTTTATACTAATTTTTCTATAATCTTAGAGAATACACACACCACTGAAATAGGCCTGTAATTGTTCATACATTTAATATCTCCCGACTTAAAAAGTGGGGTTATTTTAATTATTTTCATTCTGATGGAAATATTCCTTTTTGTATAGTTTCATTGATTAATCGTACTAAAACAGGTATTAAGTATTCTCCAAGATTATTTACATCCTTAACCGTGATACCGTCATATCCAGGTTCTGAGTTTATTTTTAGTTCTTTCACACCTTCCAACAACTCTTCTTTATTAGTCAATGTTATCGAAATAGAATCTTCGTTGTGAACCTCACCAACAGAGATAAACTCATTCAACTGCTGAATCTCTGCTTCCAAATTTTCAACAATTGATCCACCGACCCGAGAAAAGTATTTATTTAAATTGTTTGCAATATCAAGTTGAGTGTTAATAATGTTATTTTCAGTTACTAGTTGATCAATTCTTACTTTATACTCCTTATTTTTTATTAGGCTGTTTATAAAAGCCCATTCTTTCCAGCTAAGCTCCATTTAGTTTGGAAATAACGGTTCTTCAAAGCACGTATTTTATTGTTTACCTACCTTTTTGTTTGGAATAATCAAATTTTTGAAGAAATTTAAAGGTCACGTTTATTGCTACCAAAAACTTTGAAATTGAAAGCAATTTTTTGTTTATGTAGCAATAAACGTGATCATTTTTTTCGAAATTATCTTCATTACAAAAAACAGTATGTGGATTAAACTTTAATTTTACAGGGTTATTGTGGGAATATGGAGCTGTAAAAGTTATGCATAATATCAATTATTAATATTAAGCATAACTATTAATATTAATTTTGTCAATATTTGCAATTTAGACCTTAGTTTTCAAAAAAATTATAGATTATCCTTTTTCCTGTTTCTCTTTTCAAGTTCATTTGAAGGATGGATATTTTTTTTTCGTAAGTGACGATTGATCCTCTTAGGAAATCCATTCCAGCTCTTAAAACCATCATTTTAGATTTCCTGTATGGTGATTGGCTCCTAAGATATCGATGATCAAATCCAAGAGTCCTTTTTGAAAAAAAAAATCGGTATCTCAACAAGAAATATCGTATCGAGGTTTTGCAAAAAAAATAAACAGGTTACCGAGTTCATTCAATGTTTTAGCGGAAAACATTTTTCCAAGTACTGGAACCCAAACAACAGTTGTTTGTAAAGAATCATTCAAGGAAGAACAACAATTTTACGATTTCAAAATATCGAATCATGCGCTATGAAAAACTAGATAATGAAATATTATTTTAATACAGTGAAACAGTCTCTTTGTATCAGTTTAATATTTTTTAAATCCAAGAGGAATGTGCAGCTCCTTACACTACAAATAAGATGTATACTGAAAGAAGAAAGCTAAAGAAAATTTGATCACGTTATGACTGACTAAAAACAATGTGATCTATGAAGAAATCAAAAGATACCAGCTTTTCCCCAGATGATAAAGAAACTTCCGCATCAGAATTCAGTGGAGATGAATAAATGAAAACATTTCAAGTTTGTATCAAAAGTTAAATTAAACGATGTATTAGTTTATTTCATTCAGTAACTTAACAAAAAATAACACTTTCAACGTAAAATTTTGTTTTATTTTATCCCTTAAAAAATAAAAAATAAACTCCATAAACAAGTCAAGTCAATTAATTTTTCCCTCATAGCTTATTTGTTTTTTATTTACAGATTGATATATTTAAAAAATAATGCAGCAGAATTATCGGCAATTGACAACAAATACGAAAATTTTCAGTAACTAAAAGATTTACATCAAAAATGTCTTTTGTTTCCTCGTCATTTTTTCTCATGTGACTTGGCTGATTTATGCATATTAGAAACAGACGTTTTTTTTTCAGAGCACTTACCAAGCTTGATTCTGCCTCCAAATGTATCCAAAAAGGTTCACAACAGCACGTGATCACTGTGAACTGGCACTACACCACCGAAAGTCACTCTCCTCACTTTTGATCAATACTAATCGTTTCGGTTTTTTTTTTCCGAGAAAACTGCGACTCTCACGCGCTCGTCGGTGTTTATCATAGCT